GCTGCACAAATTACAAATTCCATTCACAATACACTACACAAAGTACTGGAGGATCAAAATGAGCTGGTACATGATGCTCAAATTTTTAAACAAGTTTATACATACCCCGCAACAGTACGTGCAAGAGCACACTCATGATTTTTCAACCTATGCCCTTCATCAATAATCATGTAGTGCCAGTGAATTTTCTTCAAAAATGATTTATCTCTCATGATAAGATCATAATGGGTTATTATAGCATTAAATTTCCCCTCTCCAGAGTACTCTTCTCTCAATGCCTTCCTTTCATCTAGTCGTCCATCATAAAGAACAGCAACAATACTGCAGTATAAAAATGAAATTTAAAGCATGTTTACAAAGAGAATGGTCCATCATATTATGCAGCTTTTCAGACAGTCAATATAATGTACCCATACGGCCATACCTTGGTGCCCATGTTTGAAATTCATTGATCCAATTTGGCAGTACAGCTTTTGGGGCCACAATCAAGTGCGGACCAGTCACACCCTTGTTTTCCATGAGATGAGCAATAAGAGAAATAGTTTGAATTGTCTTCCCCAGCCCCATTTCATCAGCTAAAATTCCATTTAGATTGTTATTGAACAGAGACAACATCCATTGAAGCCCTTCTAACTGGTAAGGTCTTAATTCTCCACCCTGAAGCATGGCTGGTTGCTCGGTCACCTGAAAATTTGTAATCAAAATGTAATTCCTGATTCCATTGAACACGAGATCTCTAATGTAGTATATCTTTTACTTTCTGCAGCTACAATAAAAATTTATAGGTTATGGAAGATTTATTTGCAATAATAAGCCACATATATCCATGCATATACACATATGTTAGGCAATGGAGATCCCAAATACTTCTTCCATTCCAAAATAATTGTTGCTTTTCATGTTTGCCAATGCATATATTACATCATTAATAACTTCACTTAGATTTTAATAAAAACTATATATAACAATTGATATTATAAAAGTTTTTTATCGAGATGAATCTAGCAAGATCACACATGAGTATATCCTTACGTATTGGTCACAAAAAAGTGTCAAATGCGGGTGTGTTAATAGTGCAAGTCTTGACCGTTGCGATTACTTTAGAACGGCTTGAGTTGGGGGTCTCTAGGAAACAACCTCTCTAGTTTCCAGTGAGGGTAAGGTCTAGTGAGGGTAAGGTCTGCATACACACACCCTCCCCAAATCGAGCTACCCTAATCCTAGATCTCCAAACGTTCCTAGCTAAAGGCATCCTCAATCTAAGGACATATAATCAGTGAGATCTTGAAGTCATAAGTCTCGCCTAATCACCTCCTTCCTATTCTTCCTAGGTCTACCTCTACCCCTTCTCGTGCCCCCTACCACACTACCTCTTGCATCTCTTCGCTGGGGCTCTGCGTTTCTTCTCCTTGTGTGCCCAAACCACCTCATGTAAAAAATTTATGAAAACCAAAATAGCTTTAGATCCCACCAAGCAATGAAGTTCTGCCAACAAACAAGCTGGAAAATATTTGTTTTGAACATGTTTTCTGGTTATTATAGAAGATAAAGAGGTTAGAAAGTTTTTAAAAATGTAAAAGTAGAAAAGAAAACAGTCTTTTGCAAAGTAAGATGCCTTAATTCATTATCCGATACCCTCCCACTTAAAATAAGATAGAATATATAATGAAAACAACGTTAAAACTAAATGCTTTAACGAGAGACTTACAGGACAAGATGAAGACTATATCACTGTGTAACATAGGTTCAATAGTTCTAATTACAAACCCACATGTAAAGAAATAATAGCATGCAATATCTACCTTCTCCTGGATTGAATGCACAGCCGAATTATATTTTCGTTGTCCTTCAAGTAAATCATTTGTCTTTGTATCACAAGCAGACTCATTATCAACGACATCTTCATTCTCCACAGGGGCTGACTGCCCAGGAGTTCCAGTTTTTGAAGCTGTCAACTCTGCTAAATCAGAGCCCGAACCTTCTAACGGTTCAATACCATCATGGTCAGCATCCTTTTGCCGTTGAACAGCTGCTCCCAATCGGCCTAGTAGATCATTTGTGTTTTGTAGAAGCAATCTCAACCGTTCATTCTTGCTCTCATCAACCATTTTCATGTATGCTTCTTGATCATCAGCTTTAAGTGCCTGGAACCTCAATTTTTCAGCTCGCGTAGCTCGTTGCCTTTGTCTTGCATGCCATGCCTGTAAAGGTTAGATCTTAGATGGATGTATCAAGCACTGAATTTTACCAAGACAATATTTTTTCTTTCGTCTAGACAATAGGAATAACTGAAAAAACAAAGCAAATACCTGGATACCATCATTTCTCTGTTTTCTCCGCTTTTGAACAGCAAGCACAAGCTGTTGGAGTTCACGTTGTGCATTAAGTATGTCCGAAAAGAACTTCCTTTTCTTAGTCTCCACACGATTCCTTGCCTCTTCTTCTATTCTCGATAACCTCTGTTAAGCCATTTCAGTCATATTAGAAAGCTTGGTATCATAGAGAGAGATGCAACAAAGAATATACTACCTCCGTCCCAGAGTATTTGTCCACTTTCATTTTTACACACCATCCAATACACTTCAAATTAGGTAAAATAGAACATTAAACATATAATTTTTTAATATCTTTAATATATAATTATTAGATATACAATTCTGTTTAGTTTGTTCTAGTGTGTACTGATATAAATCCGAATGTGTAACTCTCTTAAACTACTCTCAAAGTGCTTAGATGAACAGTTCCAAAAGTCAAAACTGGACGAATACTCCAGGACGGAGGGAGTATAATTTAATAATAATTGGTCTTATTAAATACTCACTCCGTTCCACTGTATGATATTAAATATATATCATACAAATTGAAGAGAGACACTGTTTATCTAGACGTGGGACTCTGGGAATGTGGAGTGGTTCTGTTTCTGGCAATCAGATATGGAGTACTATATACTACGTATTATATTAAGGAGGAAATGAGAACAGCAGTCACTAATCCAAAAATACATCCTGTAGTGAACGCATAGTATGAGATTTGAGATTTATTATAATAAGGGAGTCCTAATATATCCCTTAACAACCAAAAACAAAACTACAAATCATAAACTAAAAAAAGTAGAAGGAAATACAGACAAGATGCTAAAATATATACTCCCTTTGTCCCTACATTAACTCTTGGTTTAACTTCATATGTTTGTTAAGAAAGCGAAAACTATGTGGTTGAGATTTATCGAGCCAAACAAATTTCAACCACACAGTATTTTCCTTAAATGGAAGGATGGGATAAATTTGAAGACAAAAAAGAAGGAATGCAGATAATATAAGGAAAAAGGGAGCATATTACGTAGTATTAAACAGTGGTGTATCATTTGAAACCAAAAGGACAACTAATTGATCGACTTTGCACAACACATCACCTCAGCATCACGTTTCTTCTTCAAAGGATCATCAGATTCGACAGCAAAAGCATCTCCAATTCCATATATAGGACGGTCCAATCGCATCCTGCCCCAGTCAAATAGCTGCTCATCGGGATTTGAGCAATGCACACGAAGCCAGTACTCTAAACTCACTTCAGAACGAACTTTGCGCTGCAACTCTGCTAGCTGAAAGAGTAAAATAAACAGGGGTTCTAGGACAATAAAGAGGGAGGAAAGTAACAAAAAATCACATTAACCATGTTTAGTGAGACACCTAATGGGTGCACACATGAGTGTACCACGCTTTCCAGCATCTTTGTGTATGTGTAACTAGTTTTCAAGCTTATGTGATGCACAGGCAATTAGTGATAACAAACAAAGATACAAACAACAACAAAGCCTTGGTTTATATGCAAGAATAAAAGTTAAATGTTTTTGTCTAGTTCTATAATTTATTTTGAAAGTAAATGAAAAGTCATCAGGTATGATGCAAGTTTGCTATGATGACAAGGTGAGGCGAGGCACCAAGTCACCAACAAACCTTCACATTGCCTAAGCGACAATATGGCAAGCTATTTATAAATTACACACACACACACACACGTATTTATATATCTATATATGTACATAGTGGCATTCTGTTGACACTCACTTTGAGTGTCAACGGATGACCCCGGCTCCAATTGGGGCACCTACAGTGCTTTGTTCGCAAAATTGATGGTTCTTACCCCCTAAACCCCCTTCTCCCAACCCCAGTTGATGGAATCATCGCCACAGGTTGTATCATCACAGAAAACCAACTTGCATATATTCTCATCTCATGAATGCCTTGAGAGGCCCTAGAATAGGGTATACTAGTAACAAACTTGGTGATACGACCTATATACTCCAAATTGAAGGGAGGTGTGGGACTATAAATTTTATTGTACACTCACAAGTTATTTAGAGCCACAGAGTAATGTAAAATACTAACATTAATTTTAGCATGATATTATATTATAGTTTTGCAATCTTAAGGAGAGCAGGGTGGCTAACCTTAGGCTTCTTAAAAGTGAGTTGTGATTGCTTCCCCGCTTAAGGGAGAGTGGTATAACATAGCACATGCCAATAGATGACAATATAAAAATCATGGCTACTGTAACCACTGCTAATGATTGTGACTTAGGCCCCGTTCCGTTCAACTTATTTTTTCAGCTGTTTTCTTTTTCTTATTAAAATCAGATCAGACCATATCTAATCAAGAATTATTATTATTACTATTATTATTATTATTATTATTAGTATTACTATCATCATCATCATCATCATCATTATTATTATTATTATTATCATCATCATCATCATTATCATCATCATCATCATCATTATCATTATTACTCCATAGTTTTTAAATTCTATACTTTTTACTTGTTTCACTTGATACGATTCTTTCAAAAAATAAATTTAATTTCTCTTGAAAAAATATAAGAAGAAAGAAAATGAAACTTTTGTGCGATTATAATTTATGTAGAGAAAATTAAATGATATGAAGCACGATTTTTTTCTTAAAAATGAAAAAGAATAAAATTTAGAAACAAGTTAAATAGAAAATTGAGAAAGTAATATATTATTATACAAGATAGAGAAAAATGTATCATTTCTTTGCTTAACATTGATATTTTATAAGGATGAGATATTTAAATAAAAATATTATCTCTTCTCTATATTGATTATCTAAATTTAACTACTTTTTAATGTATATATGAATTAAATATTTATTCTAATGTATTTATGAACTAATTATTAAAATATTAAATCAATATTCTTATTTCATAAAAAAAAATCATGAAATAAAAAATATTATTACATTATGATATAAATGATTTTTCTAATATATGAATTAACTAATTTTATTTCATTAAAAAGTAATCATAAAATAAAAAATATTGATTATATTATAATATGAATTATCATTACAATTTTCAAAAGTTATTATAAAGTCAAATCAAATTATTGATTTGAATTTTAAATCAAATTATAATTAATCATATCAGACCAGATCATGATTATGGCTTATTGCCACACATTGAAATGTTTTGTGAGTTGTAACACAATAGAAAATAAGCTTGTTTCCTCACTACTGAGTGTATTACTTTAGAGCCTCCCTAGAGTACAAATGGACACTCTGAATTTGAACTTAAATATTTAAAAATAAAAAATACATATACAATTTAATGACAGATAACGACCTACTGTTTGGTGCAATTTTTTTTAGCACTAATGAGTAATAACTCTATTACTTTACAATTTAGTAAATAACGATGTACTGTTTGATGCAAATTTAATACAAGAAAAATTTGACATAATTTACATAGATATTGTAAGTTTACTGTACCTTCAATCCATAGAGTTCAAGCAAGCACTTTGACTGAAGGTCCTCACCTCTACTTGTTGGCAAATCTGGTTATATATGAGAATTGAAAGCAGTTTTGTTAAAATACGGTGTGCATATGTACACATACATTGTACATGTATATGTATATATGTATATATGTATGTATGTATGTATATATGTACATATATATATATATATATATATATATATATATATATATATATATATAGATTGGAATTTACGGGGTATTTAATAAAGAGCATCAAAGATCTGATCTCCATGGATATCCTTTTGTAGAATATACAAGTAGATAAGGGATATTTACGGAAACTTTACAGCTCAACGACAATAAAATGGTGGCAAACAAAGCGTGGGTGTACTCCCTACAGCGTAGTTAATGCAAGATGGACAACAAAAGAGTTGTATTTGCAATCATGGATTTCCTTCATGCATTAGACCCCACTATATTCCAAAAAGGTAGGATAAAAAGAAATTTAAAAATAAAAGTGAATGTAGGAACAATGTCTAACTCTAACTACTGGATGTCAAAAGCATAGTCCAAGCTAGTTATAGAATTCATACAACACTTTCATACAACTATCTTTAGAAACTATTGTTACCTTCTAGTTCACTCAAACGACTACGTATGTGGCTTTCATAACGAAATTCCTTTGATCTTTGCAATGCAGAACCTGATGTACAGCTAGATTTTTCTTTCAATAGTGAATCCTCAAAATCTGCCATCAGTTCTCCATAAGTTGCCATGCCAGAACCAATCTATAAAGTTTACAACAACAACGACCTAGTTGAATACATAAAGTATATATATTTCAAACATTAAAATGTAACTATGATAGAAATTAAATAATTATTAACTATATATGTCATTCATCACCAATGGACTTCTCTTAGAAAATGTCTATGCACATAATTGGTGGGATAAGCAACATACACTATCATTATGCACATATTCTAATTTTTTGGGAAGAAGCAATTTCTTAAACAATAGAATATATGAAATCTGCAAACATGAATATATATATATATATATATATATATATATATATGCACATTCATACATACATACATATGTGTGTGTGTGTGTGTCTGTTTGTGTTTGTGCATGTTTAATAGGATAAAAAGGTCATCAGTTGAACTCTTGTAGTATCTATATTGCAGACACTTTTAAATCCAAAGATAACTAAAAATAATGGCTTTTCCATTACACTGCACAAGAGTCAAGAAAGAATATACAATGCGTTGGATTATGGTCCAGACATCTAAGTACAATAAACCAGGTGGCATACAACCAGCTACACAAAACTCATAAAGCAACCCAAATCCATAGGATTTGATAGAGCCCATTAGGTCCAACCCATGTGCTTATCTGCCATAGTTATCATGGTGCCAAGGCGAGGCGCCAGTGTACCGCCATGATGCCTAGACAACTAGGACAAATAGGCAACTTAGGCGGCAACACATAAGAAGTCGGGATTGGTATATATTACTAACACTGAGTAACACTAACTTAAATATAAACATACGTGTTCTCTAGATCTAATCAAAATTTCAAGTACACAAATTTAAAAAAAAAATATAAACACGCCATAATATGAAAAAAGAAGAATATGAAAAACGAAATATGATTAAAACAAAATATGCGACTTCTAAGTGCAAAGTAAATACTGAGTATGAAAAAAGTCATAGACTAAAAGGCATAGAGGATTTTCAAAAGGCGGTGCCTAGGCGCCTAAGCAAGGGATGCGAAATAAGTCGAGGTGATACACCATGGCGAGAGGAGCTGACCGCCAGGACGCCTAGGCGACTCCTTGATAACTATGTTCTCAACCCCGTCGCCTTTGAAAAAGACACCAAAGCAATATTCCACTTGGTACATGCACACACCATAAAACTTCCGACCCTCACAAGTCACAACACTTGTGCCACTACCACCACAAATCTGGTCAAAAAAACCTATATAGACATTCATCTATGTCATAACACGAGGCTGAACTATAATCTATTAAATGGCTACATTAGCCTAATCCCTGACCCCCGAGGTCACATTATAACTAGCCTTGCTACCGAACACCATTTAATCATCATATTCCCAATTATGTTAATAGTTATTTACTGTCACTCTGAATTAGTTAACCTTTGTTATCAATCATTCTCAGGCACGTAACCCTATTTGCCCCAAATCACAGAAACCTCATAATTCCATATTACTACACTAACACTATGCCAACTACCAAGTGCATCTCCAAATACATTATATGACAAGGGATACACATCTTAAATGTACCAAATAAATGTCACTAAAATGTACCTAAGCAATCAAATTCAGTGAAAGTTGGAATTCATTCGATTGAGCTAAGGAAGTAAGGCTTAAGGTGGGCCTTTGCATCCTTATGTCTGCATTTATTACAAAGGTCCCTTGTATAAAGATTTACAGTCAGTCTCACAAATATTCCCTCATTCCCTTGTTGAAAAAAAAAAAGATACCATTTTAAAGTATTTATTTAAAATGAAATCAAGTGAAACCTAGCAAATGAAGCATGGAATCAAACAAATAGAAAAACATACAAACACTCTTGTATTCAAATTTCAGAAGCACATATGGACTAAAGAGTTCTTTACACGTATGAACTAAATAGTTCTTTACACATAGATACTTCACCTAATCTGATTAGTTCTGATCTGATGTAGTTATATTTAAAACTATTTATGATCCGGTCTGCTCTAATCTGGTCTGATTTGATTCCAATAAGAATAAGTAATAAGTAAAAAAAATAAGTTGGGGAGAACATGGCCCAAGTACACCAAACAAAAGCCAGTGCAAGAACAGAAGATAAAGCCACATGGAAACTGCAATATTTTGATGTGAACAGTGGGTGTTAAGTGGAAAGACATCGTTTTGGAAACTAAAGCTAAGCATTTCAGAGGAAACTAAAGCTAAGCATTTCAGATTGAACCACTGGAATAAGATATTTAGTTGCTTCGTGGTGGGAATGCTTCATTAGCATCATTTACAGACGTGAAGGGACAGAGTCAGGCTATTCTGTTTCTCTTCTTTAATTTTATGCATCAGCACATTTTCGCCTATGTTAGTTTGAGGAATAGTGATTATAAGATCAGTTTATAGGTATTCAAGAACTCAATTGGTTGTAATTCATCTTGATCTCCTTCTGCCACTAGATTCGAGGACCTTTTTTCTTCTGCCGCAGCTTCAATTTTTTACAGGTTACATTTCATTTTTGTAGTTTTTGCAAACAAGGAATTCATTCGAATTCTTGGATTTGAATTCTAAAATTTGAACTCTTGGATTTCAAATTACATGGGGAGTGTATGGATATGTAGCTGAGCTTTGTTGGGAATTAAAGTAACTCGGTCCAAATCCAAATCCAATTTTTTTGGATTTCCAAACATGTAATTTGAATCAAATCTGAAATTGAAGTCCAAATTTAAGTTCCCAAACAGGCCATTATTGAATTTGGAGCAAAAATCATGTATGTATGGATGAACTCACTCTTCACATTGATGTATGTGTCCATTGCAGCTTAAGTAAATATGGAGTACCCTATTTTTTCCTTAATAAAATTACGGAGTATCAAAAACTAACAAAGACAATATATCTTCTTCAGAGTAAACATAGAAACCCACCAAAAACTCTTAGACAATTAAAATCCAAATCTTGTTATATAAGAGAAAATCTGCAAATCAAAGGTTCTTACTGGGCTGGGCGCTTTCTCAATGCCGCTATCACCCTGGACAGCGCAATCTTCACCGGGCTCATCCTCCCCGGCGAGAAAGATGGAGGAGACTGCATCTAAAACGTCTTGAGGAAGGGGGAGATTGCGAGATATTAAATTGAGGGCGCAAATCAAAGTCTTAGTGTTCTCTATATGGTCCTGACAGGCGGCGGCGGCTGGGGAAGCAATTGAAATAGATGCAGGGCCGCCTCCGCCTGCGGCGGCTTGACTTTCCACCTGAGCTACCATGGCAGCGACAGAAGGCGCGAAGGGGGAGCAATTACGGATCAGTGAAAAATCTTGGCGCAAATTCCTGACTTGCCCATTTGTTTCCGAGTTCGACCAATTCGTTTTTTTGTTTTCAATTGCGCTTCTACCTTTGAGAATGTCTCGTTTGTTTCCCAGTTTACGCCGCCCACTTTAAGGTGTGACACACCCATCCAAATTAATACTCCTTATTAATCTTTTTTTTTTCTTTTTTCTTTTTTTGAAAACTCCTTAATCTATATTTGGTTTCACATAAATTTAAGAAAAGTAAAAGGGAAAATGCACACAAGTATTCCCAAAAATTCACAATTTTACATAATTACTTCCAAATTCATTAATTTATATCACTATTTTCAGAGTTGTTTCATATTTATATCTTTACTCTGACGTTGCTTAGACATCATGTTTGTTACATACGTGACTCTATTAATGATAAGCGGACAATTTAACACTTGTACTTTTCCATTTTAAACAACTAAATTACGTGCTTTTTTCTTCATCGTCTTCTTCACACATTTCTTTCTTTTTAACTTCCTGAGAGTGTGATTTCCTTCGTCTAAACTTTTTGAGTTGGATTAGAATTTTTAAGGTTGATCAAATATTGTTTAGTTTAGTTCGAGTAATTGGATTTGAATAGATCTGATATGATCTGAATGGACCTAATTCATTTTATTATAGTGTAATTTAAAGTTGTTGGTCTGATCTAATTAAATTGTCCACTCAACATTAAAAGAATAACACACATGATGACTGCTCTAAAGTAACAATATAAATATGAGACAATTTTGGAAGTAATGACATAACTTAATGAATTTGAGAGTATTTATGTTAAATCATGAATTTTTGGAAGTAGAAAGGAAAAAGTACGAGCCTGTTACGGGACTATTATTATTATTATTATTATTATTATTATTATTATTATTGTAAGAAATTATTTATAGTTAGTTAACTATTATTAGGGAATAATATGTTTGTTAATTGATTACTTAGTTTCCTAGTTTATTTAGTTACCTTTTATAATTAGGATTCTTAATTATCTAGTTACCATTTATTATTGAGATTCTATAGAGTTGGAGCCTATAAATGTATCCATCACCATAGTATTATAATTCAATGAATAAAGAAAATACTTTCTCCTAAACCTTAATAATCTCTCTCTTTCTCGCCTCTTTTGTTCTTGGAGCTCGAAGGTGCTCGAAATCCTTCCCTATCCCGATACGATACCGTATCAGAGCCATAAAAAAAATTTCAAAGTATAGAAAAAGGATTATTTTCTTGGAAAAAATGAGAACTATTAATTTGAAAGAGATGGAATAGTTTTTTTAGTAAAACTTCTTTTCCTCTTTTTCTACAATATTTTTTGTGTTTTATACATTGCTCAAAAGTACTTTCTCTGTCTAAATTTAAATTATGGAGAACTCCTTATATAAGAATAAAAAATTATGAAAATACTAAAATATGAGTTATAAGTCTTTTAAGACTAAAATAAAAGTTTACACTGTCATTGTTATACTGTCACAGTCATCACATTGTAACTTTCATACTATCAATAATGTCACACTGTCATCCGTCGCGACCACTAACTAGAATGCCATTGTGGATCACCGGTGGTTGACTCATCAGACTAATATATTACATTGTCATCACTTTTTCATCACACTGCCAACGTGTACTTTTACATCACACTGTCATTATACTCTTATTTTCATCCCAAAAAACATAGGACTCCTATTGGTATTTTTAAACTTTTTACTCATATCCATGGAGATTTCTTTTTAAATTACTTCGTACTTGTTTTCTTTTTCTGTTTGTCCCAATTACTTCCAAAATAAACTGCTTATTTCTTAATAAGGTAAGTTTTTTGGATAAAATATTTAAAATACCCCTAATTTATTTACTACATACCCGTTGTCCCTGACCGTATCTATCTTATATACTATGCACATGTTCTTCTTTGGTTGTGTCCTCTTCGTTGAAACTTGTTGAACTCATTCTAATTTTCTTTGTAATGATCTTATTTTATAATAAATCAAATCTGATCTAAATGAATCAGCACTAATCTGAATAAATCTGATCGGAATATAGAGTATTTTAAAGCTCTCGGTTATCTGAATTTATCTAATCTTATAGATCTAACTTTTTCAATCTTTTGTTCTTCTTCGATCTTGCATTTTTACCATGTTCTTCCTGTTTAAGGTGAGTTCTTTTATTTTTTTGTTTATATATATATATATATATATATATATATATATATATATATATATATATATATATATATCTGTGTGTGTGTGTATATGTATGTGTGTATATATATATAGCTATTTATTTATTTATATCAAGCTAAAGAAAGGCATTATTTATATCAAGTTGAAAAAGAGCCCACTTTCTGAAAGCAGCCAAGACAAGAATACATCTGGTCGTGGTCATTTAAACCACATTAACACCATGTTTTTGGTGATTGCCTTGAATAACAAGTCGAGCTTTGAAGCTTTCTAGATTACCATCAGATTTTTCTAGACTGCCATTAGATTGGAGTTTAACTTTGTAAACCCATTTGCTAGATATGGCTTTTTTCCAAGAGGATGATCAACAAGTTCCCAAGTGTCATTGGCTTGTAAAGCAACTATTTCCTTATTCATTGCAATAATTCATCTTGGATCATTAGAAGCCTCAGAGTATAAATTGGGTTCAGTATAAGAACATATATGAGTAAGAAATGTTGAATAGTGTTGGGAAAGTGTATTTAGATGAACAAAATGACACCAATAGGAGTGAAAGGTAGTGAAGGAATAATGTTGTGGTAGAGTAAGACAATGATATTGATGTAAACATTGGAGGTTTGATAATTCTGGTGGAGTGCCTGAGGGTGAACAGAAGAGTTGTAGAAGAAGGAGAGGTTGAAGAAATAGGAGAAGTTGGAGAAGAAAATAGATGGAAAGAATCAGGGGAAGAAGAAATTGGATATGAAGATTGATTAGAAGAAGTTGGAGGATGAGAGGTTGGAACATGGGAGGAAACATAATTGGATAAACTGGAGATGAGGAAGTGAGATGATGGAAAAGAAAGTAATGTTCATGAAATTTAACATTTATATTATAGAACACTTGTCTGGTATGTAAATCAAAAAGTTTGTAGGCCTTTTTATGAAAAGGGTATCCCGAAACACACAAGGTATAGCTCGAGGAGTAATTTTGGTTCTGTTGGAAGACAAACTAGAAGCAAAACATAAACATCTAAAAGATCTTAGATGATGGGGGAAGCTTGAAAAACAATTTCAAATGGAGTTTTGTTTTGGATAATGGATAGAGGGAATCTATTGATTAGCTTGGAAAAACAAGGCTCTGGAGATTTCAAGTAAATGTTTGTGTTTGCGCTCTACAACCCCATTTTGTTGGGGTGTATCAACACAAGTGGTTTGGTGAATGATTCTATGTGATTGATTAAAAAACTGAGCTGAAGTATCATCAAATCCTTTCCATTGTCGAAATGAATGATCTTAACAGACACACCAAACTGTTTTTCAGTGTAAGTAATGTGACTAGTGAGAGCAGTGAATGCATAAGACTTAAGAGACAACAATTGAACCCAAGTTATTCTGGAAAAGACATCTACAACAGTCACAAAAAATTTATGACCGCCATAAGTGGGTGTTCTGTATGGTCCCTAAATATCCACATGTAATATTTAAAAAATAGATACACTCTTTATTGAACTTGAAATGAAAGATAATTTGTGCATTCGAGCTTCAGGACATACATGACATATGGAAGAAAAAGAAGGATCGGTACATGAAAGATTTTCAACGTACTTTATTCTCGTAATAGGTAAATGCCACAATTCAGATTTGCTCATGCAAGCAATAGAAGAATGAAGGCAAGCATGAGGAATGGATGGTGAGCATTGCTTCACAAAATAGAGTCCGCCCCTTTCTTTACCAACCAGCAATGAACTCTTCTTCATTTGGTCCTGAACAACACAATGGGATGGATGAAAGACAAAAGAACAAGACAATTGTTTAACAAATTTTTGCACAGACAGTATGTTATAGTGGAAATCTGGAACATGTAGGACGTTTAGCAACTCTATCCTATTTTGTAAGGATACAATTCCTATATGTGAAACTTTTGCCTTTTGGCCATTTGGTATAGTAATGAAACATGTCTTAGAAATGGGTTTGTAAGATGAAAACTTAGACAAATGAGGGGTAATATGATCTGAGGCTCCACTATCAATGATCCAATTTGATTTGTCACATGAGGAAAAGAAATAAGAGCTTATACCTGCTAAATGAACACTTGAAGCCATGTGACCAATTAGAAAATCAGAAGTGTTGCGTTGATCACTGGTGTGCATAGTGTCCTTGCTCAGAAGAGCAATGGGCTGGTTATACTAAGAAGAACTGAGAGATACTAGAAGCTCATCTGAATCACAGCTTTGATTTGAATTTGAAGCATTAGAACTCATATTATCTTTTCCTTCGAAAAACACTTGTCAAAGATGATATGAGTTCTAAATATTGACTCCAATTCAAACTCTTATTTTAAAGATGTAAATATGCATCTCATATTTTGAGGATTAATTTTAAATCTTACTCCGATTTGATGATTTCTTAGAAAAGTGAGACAAGAGTAATACTCCCTCCGTCCCATTTAAATCACTCATTTTGAATTTGGAGCATATTTAATGAAGAGAAAAAAATAGAATTGACTTTTTAAAATTGTCATTACTTTTTAAGAGGGTGACAATAAATGAGAAGATAAGGTAAAGAAGAATGAATTATTTTAGAGGTAATTTAGATATTTTACTCTTAAAATTTCCCGATAACAAAAAACAAGCAACTTATATCGCTCAATGGTCGGGCACGGGCACCATTGTAAAATTTACCGACAAATGCTTACATTTAGTCTTCATACAACTTAAGACGCATAAAATGAGTTAAGAATAGACATTAAAAAAAAGTTATCATACTACAAAGTGAAAACTAGACTTCTTATTCCAAAAGAAAAAAATTCATGTATTTTCCACCAGGTTTTCTTTCGCTAGTATATTCCTAGTTCGAAAGGAACCCTAACAAGAATCAGTGTAGTAAGTAGTAACCCCTCAGTAGGACTTCCCCTTCCTTCCCGAAGGACTTCAACTTTCATTGAGTTCCGCAAAATATGACATGTCCAAAATTCTACAACAGTTTCAATTCTTAGCAGCATCTGGCATGGGGGAAGACTCCGCCGGCTCTAGCTCTTTCCCAAAACCTTGTTGATTGGTTCTTGAAAATATTGCAGAGATATGAAGATGGCTTCCTGATGTTGGCAAAAATATGAAGTTGCAGCGCCAATTTGCATGTAACAAAATACGGAGCTAACAAAAAGACTTGGCACCGGCAGATTCATAAATAAAAGCAGAATTACCTCAGTCCGAATGGTTCTGCTTCCTTGCTGCGGGCATGTGTTCAGATAGAGATCAAATATGTCACGAGCATTTTTACCCTGAAAGTTGTTGTATACTCAGCATGAATATATTAACTGTTTAATCCCTCGTACGAGTGATAAATTTTGGAATTGCATCGACCAATCTTTAAATTTGTTGATGATACCTTTAAATTATTGTCTTCTTCAATACACTCTTCCAGCCCCGCAAGCCCACCAAAAGCTATTAATAGGTTTCTAAAATTTCAAAAAAACACCAATAAAAGGTGACTGGCTATATGAAAAGGGGCCCTTCTAGTATAGTCGAGTATCAGACTAACAGGAGGGGATTAGGAATGTGGTTTAGCAGGCAGAGTTTAGACCATCAAGTGGGGACTAGGTGAACCAAACAGGCCCTACCTGTTACTAAAACTGTTTGTCTAAAAAGGAAAGTACCCACTGCTTGATGGCACTTTAGTAACAGGTACATTCAACTACATTAAAACTGTTTGTCTAAAAAGGAAAGTACATTAACACTGCAACTTGCATGCAATGAACAAAATGTAGCTATATTTGACAACCAACTGTGTTGTAATGGTTGAAACACACCAGCTCGAATTTAAACTACTTCCTCAAAGGAAAAGAAAAAAAACTTACGTGAATGGCGGCAGAGTAAGTTCAGAGGACCTAACAGAAATACCGTGTTCTGAGGTCCCAATAATATGATCGTAACCTCCCTACACAATGAATATTAAGTTTGCATCATGGACGATTTTACAATATGCAAAGAGGTTAAATATTTCACATAGATCACCATGTTGGTACAATACCTTGTAGGGGCAATCCTTGAATACGGAACTAATGTTGGGAGCATATCGCACCTTATAGCCCCAATACATCCCAGCCACTTTCCTTGGCGTGGAAGTAGAAACAACTTTGTGTGGTATGTCTGAAAATTAAAATATGGGACTGGTTGCATTCAACACTATCAATTTATTGTGTTTCAACTTTCAATGCAATGGACAGCAAACATCATGAACTATAACTACACTTCTCATTCAATAAGCAATAGTACAGTACTTGTTGGTCTCCAATCATGAACGATTGACACCAAGTCTCCCACGCGCCATGCATTTTTAGGCTAATTCACATGGCCAACATGTTGATTATGGGGCGACATTAACTTAAGCTGCCAATAAATGCATGCCACATGGGACTTAGTCACAATGGTAAAAGATATAAAAATCTCAATAGAATTGTCCATCATTCTGTATTTCTATTACAATGATATGATGTATAGTATGGCAGGCTGATCTCTGAATAAAACAAGAAATTAGTTTTGAAAATACAATATCTTTGATAAATCATGATGCCTTCTGCCCATACCCAAGACTGCCTTTTAGGAACTGCTGTGGAGGGGGGAGGAGGGGGCAAAATGAAAATCAATGAGATTCCTTGATTGATTTTAATGGTTGGAATAAGAATGAAATGCAATCTGAATAGACATGCTGATCTGTAATTATTGATTTTCAATCCCATTTTAAATGCGCGTAGCAAACAAAGGAAAGGAGTTATTTAGAAACTCATCTTTATTCCAAAGACTACCTGATTCCAAATGACGGTCAGTTCCCATGGATACTGTTACCCTTTTCCCTGGGTCAATGTCTTGATCAATCAGTACATTCTGCACATCATGTTGATCTATCAATTTAAAAATTAGTAACATGCAATTAAATAACTCATGTACTAAAAAAAATCAAACATAGCAAATAAAATACCCAACAGCAATTAGCACTCTAATCCAATGTCTTTCTCAATTACACTGATAAAAGTTACATCACAGATACGAAAGGACCAGCCTAAAGACCGAAATAAAAACATTTGAGTCCTACGTCTTAAACTATTACCAGATTTACCTTCTAAACAAATACTACGTATGTAGCAGTTAGAGCATCCAGCATACCACGAAGAGCATGGTTTGATAATCTTCCAGGAGTTCAGGTTACTGCTTAAGTTTGTGCTAAAACCCGCTCCCCAACAAGTGGCAAGTAAACACCTTTTTTAAAAAAAGTCTATTTATGCAGGATTAAAAAAACTCTCCGAGTTGTTCCAAGAATGTCCAAACTTTGGTTAAAAATATACTATTAACCAACCAATAAAACACATTACATTACGTATACTTCCAAAATGACCTCTACCCGATCAATAAGGAAATTGCAGCATGATTATAATCTGGAGTAATACTATTAAGCATGGGATTTTGGAAACGTTTGGGGCAGACCAAATAGAAACCAGCAATGATTAGCAATCAAGAATTCAGCTTCATTTGAAAACATAAAAATCTTTATCAGAAGAAAGGAAAGAAAAGAAAAGAATGAAATGATTGGTACTCAGCAACATATGGAAGAACATGAAATACCTTAGTAAGTCCCACATCAACCAGCGTCTGTCCTAATTTTGGATGTTGATCTCTAAGTGTGACACCTGAAATCAGAGAGACAGCATTTTCTTACTAAATTTTTCTAAATTGACAAATAATAAGACCTTATGAAACTTAAATGTTGTAAATGATTTAAGTGATAACGAAAGAAAATCAACAACCATCGTTGGAAATTTTAATCATTAGCTTATCAGTAGGCATCCAGATAATCCCAGAAAATTGGAAAACCATATGATGGTGGTTTTGAAATTTCATAACATTATTCTGTTATAAGGCGGTGGTGACTGAGATGCTGTCCAGAGTAAGACATTGATATGGTATTATGCATAACTTTAGGGTTACTAACATTTAGACAATCAAGTCCCACTATATGTCATGTCACTGACCCATCATTGTTTGGAATAAAGGGGTTATGATGACAACAATGACTATGCATCTTAGGAAGGGATAACCCATAGAGGTTAAATGCAAGACTACGTCACTAAAGTAAACTGAATACAAAATGAGCAAGAACTAAGCCACAACAATGCTACAATCCAAAATGGATGAAATTGCTTTGCTTACAAGGAAAATGTAGAGATCAAGTAAATGAATCAATTCCACTATTGAAGACAAAGATATGTGCAAAGTTTTAGCATCAGTCAATTAACCTTGTCAACATAGAACTTACCTGAAGTTTAGAGATCAAGTGTACACCATCATATGCATAAACCTTTGCATCATACGTGTCTAAACTACCATCAAAGCATCTCTAATACTAATATAACCACAATGCATAAACCTTTGCACCATACTTGTCTAAACTACCATCAAAGCATCTCTAATACTAATATAACCACAATGCATAAACCTTTGCACCATACTTGTCTAAACCACCATCAAAGCATCTCTAATAATAATAATAATTGCAATCCAAAATGGATGGAATTGCTTTGCTCGCAAGGCAAATGTAGAGATCAAGTCAATGAATCAATTCCAATATTGGAAACAGAGATATGTGCAAAGTTTAGCATCTGGAAACAGAGATATGTGCAAAGTTTAGCATCAGTCAATTAACCTTGTCAACATAAAACTTACCTGAAGTTCAGAGATCAAGTGTAAGCCATCATATGCATAAACCTTTGCACCATATTCGCTTAAACTACCATCAATGCATCTCAAATAATAATAACTACAATGCATAAACCTTTGCACCATACGTGTCTAAACTACCATCAAAGCATCTCTAATAATAATAGTTACAATCCAAATTTGATGGAATTGCTTTGCTTACAAGGCAAATGTAGAGATCAAGTCAATGAATCAATTCCAATATTGGAAACAAAGATATGTGCAAAGTTTTAGCATCAGTCAATTAACATTGTCCACATAGAACTTACCTGAAGTTCAGAGATCAAGTGTAAGCCATCATATGCATAAACCTTTGCACCATACTTGTGTAAACTACCATCAATGCATCTCTAATAATAATAACTACTGAGTACAATAATAAACCTTTGTACAATTTACGGAGTCAAATTGTTGACTTTTTACTTCCGCTTGTGTTCAATGAACATAGAACACAAAGATGCAGCTGACTCTTAATATGTTAAAATTCAAAAGAATAATGAAAAATTGACTAGGCAATATATATATATATATATATATATATATATATATATATATATATATATATAATTTATATTTTACAAGTAAAAAGTGGGATTACTCAAACTTAAGCCACCAACAGCCATTCTTCAATGATGGAATTATTTTTGAATGCTACCTTCTCGAAAAGGAGCCCATTCGTGCTTCCGCAAATGATGTGGGGCATCGAGTGGGGGTAATGAGCCCTGAAAAAAATGGATACCAATGATAAGTATGTCTATACAGGTATAAACCCAAAGAATGCATACGTACTGTAATTCAACGAGAGAATCCATACCACAAATCTTAAGTTTTTATGCATGGGAAATAGGCTCTTTCTTAGATACTGAGGTGTCTCCATATACTTCAGAATCATAAAGAGAAATGCTGCCCCGCTTTCATTTTCATCTAAATTGGGCTCCAAGGGTATGTCTGAACTATCTTGAGAATTGACTGCATTGTCAAACACAACAACCTGTGAAAACAAAGACCGAACTCATTTTTGTGCTGAAATTTTTCATTTTGTGTCTTTCAATATCTCAGTGCCACCTCTAACAAAGCATATTACTTGTAGTATGCCAGGGCAACAATACATTGACCTTAATCAGTAGCTGCATAATATGCAGCAAATCTAATAACGTAAGGGTATGGGAATAACCTCATCTATCCGGAAAATGGTTGCAGCACGTGCAATTTGTCCTGCCAGCTGTCTTAAATTAATGGCAAAACTGAGTTAAATTAAAAGAAGAAAAAAATCTATTGCACAATCAAACATCTCCCTGATCAAAACAGAGAAAAACGTATATGAACATGTCTGTGTATGACTCTAAGCATATATGATTACCATTTGTTAGTGGAGAAGACACTTACGCGGGTGGCTAGCTCGAGGGACTGTGCATTATCGATGATAGACCCCGGAAGGGCAATGGAGACTGTGGGCAATTCCTTTGAAAGGGCAGAATTACTCCCCTCCAAGTCTTCGTTTTTCTTCTTCTTATGTTTAGAATCGGCATTCGCCGCCTCTGCTTCGATCTCGGGTCTGCTTTTGTTTACATTTTCTCCCTCTCGTTCGTGTCTCTGTTCCTTCTTCTTTTTCACACTTGTCTTCTTCTCCGCGTGGCCTCCGTTAACGGGGGCGAGCTCAAGATCGGACTTAACAGTATTGCACGTTTCGTGAGCCGCGGCTTCTTCCGCTTCTCGTTGGGTTCTCTTCTTTCCCATTTCGACTAGGCCCTACGCACTGAGGGTCTTTAGGGTTTCGTTTTATAGAGCAAATCCAAGCTTGTTCAAGGCCTCAGTGCTCTTAGCGATAATATTCAGTAGTATATATATTTTCAAAAACAAATATTCAAATATATTCGAATATTAACAAAAAGAGGGTCGGATCAAATATGAATTGTTTTATAACTTGAATAAATAATGAATTGGAATTTGAACCTATTGCATATAAGTCGAATACCTATCGAATACCTTGGTATTTGATTTGATTCAATTCGTATACACCCCTGGACATATTTCAACAAAAATACTTTGTTAAGAATATACTCCATATGTGATATGATATACGGAGTAATTACTATCTTCTTTTAGTTTGACATTTTCAAGTCAAACTAGATAAAATTTGAGTCTCAAAAAATTAAAAATTGTAATGAATATTAATATAAAAATGATCTCATCAAAGACCCAATTGCCATCATACAATATCCATCAGCACACTACCGCCCTCTAATTGTCATCATTCTTCAAATTGTCAAACTCTTATTTAGAGGGTAAAAATAATGTCGTTGTTGGGTGGGGTTCCAGTGCCACTGGAATCCGGTGCCACTAGCGGTGCCACTGGCATTTTGGGGCACCTCCGGTGCTCCGTTCGCAAAATTGACGGTTCCTACCCCCCTAACCCACCCCCTAAATCCCCCACCCTACCCCCGCCCCTGCACCCCCACCCCAACCCCGCCGTAAGCCCCCCACAAAATGTGTGGCTATTATATAAAAAGATTTCTTATGTAAAAAAAATCTTTTTATATAATACTCGCTTTGTCTCCAAAAAAAGACTCCTTGGAAACAAAGCGAGTATTATATTAAAAGAGTAAAATAGTAAAAGAATTTTTTTTGAATGGCACACAACCCCGTATAATATTAAGCGAGTATTATATTAAAAGAGTAAAATATTAAAAGAAATATTAAGAGAAATGCACCATTCATTTCTCCCCAACTTCATTTCTCCCAAATTCAATATTTTCATTTTTTAATTTGTTTAATCATTTTAATGTTTTTTTTAAATTTCTTGGGACAAAAAGTATACCAGTCTTTTTTTTAGACTTTACTATTCATAATAATGAGCTCCAACGGGTCCTTTAAAAAATAGTGAAGTATCTATTTTTCACTTTACACGTGCTATATATAAATGACCAAAAGTTATCTGCTATAATAAAATATTAATAAAACTAGGTACGGCACCCAATTGAGATGAGAGGAGAATGATAACTTGGTTTTTATTCGACACAAAGCAAAGAAATAAAAAGAGAAAGCGTATTAAATTTACATGGAAGGCGGAGAGTAGTAGCTATGGTAAGAGCACATATGAAAATAAGAACATCCAAATCATTGTACATATTCTAAACTATGTTTATGGTGGTCCATTTTTAGCATCTCCAACGGAAGAAGTTAAAATCCAACTGCTATAATGCTTTTTAGCTTTTGAACAGTAGATTAAATATCCACTTGCTCCAACCGTGTGCTTCAATTATAGCATATGTACAGTGCCTCCTCTCTTTTCATCCACAAACTCCAACCATATCCCCACAAACTCCCTTCTCTCCTCAAATTATAATAATTTTTTATTAAATAGAGTATATGCAGCATCTTTCATTAATAGAAGCTCTAACTCCAATTATAAAAGATGTTCTATTTTTTGAAACATCCGTTGGAGCAAGAAAATTGCTACAGTATAGTTTATACCTTCTATATTTTAACATTTGAAGGCTGCATTGGAGATGCTCTTAGTTTCCAATTTCTATAAATGTATTTTACGTATACTTTTTCTTCATTTTCTTTTTTTATTATTTTATTATAATTTTGATTATAATAAACAAACATTATAAAACTAGCTTTGTAAAAAATTTAAAAGAGAAACAAAAAAAAATAAAAAAGAAATCAAAAAAAGAAAAGAAATTAAAGCTTCAGTACCAAAAAAAGGAGAAAATGTTTTATTGATTTGTGTTTCATAAAAACGAACCAATAACGAACTTTTTTAGACAAAAAATAAAATCATTTAATTTGAGACAAATGTAGGGTGCATTTATTCTTTTTATTACAGAGTATAAAGAACAGAAAGGGGGGATTGTGCTCATTTTCAAAGCTATACGAAGTAACAAAATTATTCCCTTAAGATTTGAAAGATATATTAGTCTAGAGAGAACGTATGAATATCAAAACGACGAGAGACAATGATGTAAGTTTTAAAATCATGGAGGTGTAACAATGCTTTTTTACTAAACCAGGTAGTGAACTAGTAATGGCGCAATAAACTTAATGCATGCAACTGAGAGGCAACCCATGTAACAAAAAAAATACAGAAGATGACAAAAAATCGGCTTTCATCTCAAGTACAGTAATACCGGCCAATTTATAAATTAGAAAAAGATAGTGTCCTTTCATAGCTTCTGGGTGACCATTGTGTGTGGAGTAGAAGGCTTGAAGCTGAGCCCTACCTAAGACTGCTTGATTAAATCATTACCAGACAAAAAAAAAAGCTCCAGAAGAAGAATGATAACACATCAGCACTCGATCCTGACGGCCCCACTCTCAGAAGAGACGAACCTGGGCTTCCTGGTCACCTGCTCCATGCACTGGATGACGTCACCCACCTGGAAGTCAAAGCAGTTCTGGATGACCAGCCCGCACTCGGACCCCTTCCCGACCGTCTCCACGTCCTGCTTCTCCCTCTTCAGCGACGCGCAGCACCCTTCGAACACGAGCTCCCCGCTCCGCAGAAGCCTCATGGGCGACGCCCTCTTCATCCGCCCGTCAACCACCCGGCACCCGGCGATCTTCACGTCGTCCCCCTTGGCCTTGCTCCTCCCCTTTGTCTCAAAGATGCTCAGCACCTGAGCTTCTCCGGCGACTTTGGTCTCCACAGTCCCCGGAGCCCTTTCGACGATCAACTTCCCCACCTCCTCCAGGAGATGATATATCACGCGGTGCAATATTATCTGCACAACAAACAAACACACCTCACAAGCTTCAGTGTGCCGTAAAAGACTAAGGGGCTGTTTGTTTCAGCCTCTTAATGATTCAGATGTCTGAATGGTTCAACACTTAATGGTCGTGAGCATGGTTCAGACATTTGCCTCTGAATGGTTAAGTATTATATAGAGTCTGAATGGCCTCTTACTGGTTCAGCACTTACCTATTCAGAAGTTGCCAAACAGCCCCTACACTATGTCTGGTTCAAAGAATTTGAAAGAGAAAGGAAAATAGAATGAGATGGGGAACAGTTTTTCTTGTTTGGTTAGAGAGGAAAAGATGATAAAAGTGCAAGGAAAAGAGAATGAGAATGCAAAATGTACTAAGAGGAAAAAAAATCAAATTTCTCCCATTTTGTGAGGGAAATGAGAGAAGACCATTTTCTGTTTTTTTCCTTTTCAAATTCTTTGAACAAAACATACTGTAAGAGTAGATGGATAGATCGAAAACATTGACCGTTTTAGGAAGACTGCACGCACCTTTATGCCGGCTCTGTTAGCTTCCTGACTTAGAGAAGTGGGCGGATTTCTCACGTTGAAACCCACAATACATGCACCACAAGCTTGTGCCAAATCTACATCGGACTCGGAGATTGGCCCAACACCACCATGGACAACCGTTACATTAACCTATTTTTCGCACACACAAACACTAGGGTTGAGTTTTCTCTAGCAAACAAACAAAAGAATACAAAAACAAATAGTAGGCAATTTATTGGAGTACCTGGGGACTATCCAAGCCCTTTAAGACATCCGTGACAGCTTGAACAGTGCCTTGAACGTCTCCTTTTACTATAAATGCCAATTCCACCCTCTTGGGCTTATGCCTGTTTTCCTCCGGTGTTTCTGTATCGTCTGATTGCTCCTCATCTTGCTCCTCCACAAGTCTATCTGCTACCTTCTTATTTAGTCTATCTCTTTCATTTTTCTTTTTCCTTCCATCACTAAGCATCCTTGCCCTTTCCTCAGAATGCACCACGACGATATCATCACCGGCCATAGGTAGCCCTTTCAGCCCTTCAATCTCAACTGGCATTGAGGGATTAGCCTTCTCGGTCAATTTTCCCACCGTATCACGGATAGCCCTTATTTTCCCCCACTCCGCACCCAAAACAACATGCTGGCCACAAACAAGTGTTCCTGTTTTCACTATGGCAGTAACCAATGGACCCCGTCCCTTGTCAAGCCTTGCTTCAACTACGTAAGCTTGAGCTGGCCCATCACTACGTGCTTTCAAATCCATAAGCTCAGCCTGCAGAAGTAAAGCTTCTTCTAAACTATCCAAACCGGTTCTTTTTACTGCAGACACTTCAACAACCTGAACATCTCCACCCATCTCCTCCAAGGGCAACCCTTCTGTTGCAAGCTGAACTTTCACTCTCTGTGGGTCTGCTGCAGGCTTGTCACATTTGTTGATAGCAACAACAATCGGCACGTCAGCAGATTTTGCATGAGAGATTGCTTCAAGTGTTTGAGGCATGACACCATCATCAGCAGCCACTACCAACACAACTATGTCTGTTACTGCTGCACCTCTAGCTCGCATTGCACTGAATGCGGCATGGCCAGGAGTGTCAAGGAATGTGATTGATGCCCCTGAAGACATGCTGACAACAAATGCTCCCAAATGCTGAGTTATGCCTCCAGCTTCATTAGCTGCCACAGAAGTTTGCCGCAGAGCATCCAAAAGTGATGTTTTGCCATGGTCAACATGACCCATCACTGTGACAACTGGTGGACGTGGTAGGAGTTCACCACCTTCAACTGAATGCTGCCTCATGACTTGAACTCCTACTTCCTGGGAAAACGAAACAACTTTAGCTCCTTCAGAGAAGAGAGTTAGAAACCGACCTATTATCTTAAGGAGAAATATAAACAATGAATAACTGTCCACGACTCCACGTGTGTGTGAGGGTGGGCTGTGGGGGTGAGGAAGAAGGGATGATTAGATGTTTAATTTCACTTGAACGGAAGGAAGACCATCTTACAAGAACAAACAACCAGGAATGAGGGTAAAATGATTTACTTATCCATAGCTACTACTAAACACAGGATATAAGTTATCTCCTGAGCTCACTAATGACACGTATACAAACTCAAGTTTCAAAATGTAAGAACTATTTACCATTGCAACTAGCTCAGCAACGTCAATACTGAGAGGGTCAAATTCTGATCCAATTTTCTCCCCCATATTCAAAAGGATATCCTGCACAACAGGTATAGATTCTCCACACCGCTTGGCAAGCTCAACAATCGTCATCCCTTCGAATATTTCAATTTTCCTCTCAGCTGATGAGCTGCCGGCTTTTTTTAGTTTGGGAGGGATGTAAGGTTTTTCAACAGGTGGGGCAGTACTCTTTGTCCTTTTCTTGAACTTTCCTTTCTTTGCAGTCTTTGATCCCAATGCTTCATCATCAAATCTCCTACCTAGTGCTTTTGGAGTGGCATGGAAAGTCCTAAAGACAAACTGTTAATGATACTCCAGAGATTCTTTCTTTACAAATCATGCAAATAATTTCATCCAATATCTTCATTTTTCACAAGGGCAAAGCCATTAATTTTCACTTCAGAGAATTTACTTAAGAGAGGTCAGTCCAACTTAAATAGTTAAATAAAGCCTTATCCCCATCTAATAGAACTCTGCAAGTTATAGCACATTGTATAGCAAAGCGCAAGCAATTGAAAAGGGAACCGGGGGTGGGTGGGGGGTGGGGGGGAGCATGCATATACTCACATACCAGCATTCAATTCAAACTCAGATTATAGGAATGAGATACTTGTCTCAATCTTTCTTCCTAACAGATGAACAAAAGTTAATTTAACATCTCTTCAATCCATTCACGGCTCAGACTCACTTAATGTAAGAAACTATTTAACCAGCTTTTGTAGTGATAACAGATGCCTTAACACTTCCCCATTATTTTGATCAGTTCTAAGAGAAATATGATTGCACACAACCCCGTATTATATAGAAGAAGCTCACATTCTTAGTTGCCAATCCTTCTTTACACAACTTCTACAAAGTTGAAATTATTAAAACATCCAAATAAGTAAAACTGTGCATACAATGAATTTCCCTTCCCTTATAGATAATGATTAATGAGTGTTTTACTTATCATTCTAACTCTCTCCACAAAAAGAAACATATTTAAAAGTACAAACAGGATTTCAGGGCTGGCAAAATGTTTCACTAGAAAAGCTTACAACATCGTCTTTGCACTGTAAATAAGGAAATGCAAGAAATAATGTGTTGATGTACCTTATAAATGTCTTATTGGAACAAGTGCCAGCATTTCCTGCCAATAACTCCGGACATAGATAATATCCTGCAAACAGATTTCAATTCAAATACACAAAACTCATGTAAGCACACCGCACACTTGCCCACCATTTGTCTTTTTACTCTTTTCTTAAGATCTCAGGAGATTAGAATAGTTAAGGGAGAAGGTCCTGCAATTTTTTTATCCATGCAAACACGCCCGAACACAAACCGTATACGTGGAATCGATAAAAATAATCATACCCATAGGCCATAGTTTTAAAAATTTGTAAACAAAGGCTGGTCAAGGGACAACATCGAATGATTGGAATGAGATGTGTTATACATACCCTCCGTATATCTAGCCAAAATGGCAAGTGATCTTAGCGCCTCACTTAGATTGGGGGACACCAACGCTGCTGCTTCTTTGGATGTCAATGTCAAGTTTTTCCTGAGACAAGAAAACATACACTGCAAAAGAACAAGGTGAGTATTATCATATTTCTTCAAAGCATATAAGACTTTAGCAAATTGTATGACTCTAAAACATCTTTGAACTTTTTTCATTTCCCAGCCAGTCATATCTTGACAAAAAGAAAAAAAAATGTGATTTTCAAGGTTATAATGAATATTGTCATAAACATACCCTCGTGTTGTCCAATTATAGGACTTATGGCAATGGATATGACATGGTGGAAGGTGGTGGCGGAACAAGAGCAGGGTGTCATGAAATTTGGCAGAATTTATCCGAACCAAAATAATCCGCCAACTACCAGAACTCAATTAACACAATATTTTTCTTCCAGATACTTGTTTTCAAGAAATGAGACAAGAAAATGAACCATTTTCAACTTTTAGCCAAATGCCAGAAAAGGAAAATGACTTCAGGAAAATAACTCATTTTCTATAAGTTATTTTCCTGGTTTCCAAACGGACCCCTGAAAACATAGGGATAAACCATGGAATTTATAATTGGCCATTTTCAGTCAAATTTTTCATTCATTACACAACATTGTAGATTTGTAACATGTCAAATAAAAACTCACATGAAGAATCATGAATGAGATACAATAGTATCAATGAACTAGAAATACACATCACCTTAGAGCACTATGCTCCAAATTTAGTTCATTTACTGAAGATATTCTCAAAGTAGGTGAATAAGTAATCCTTGTAACCAAATATATGTGACTTTTTTTATTTGTTGGAAAGATATTACTACAAGCACAGAATATCAAGTTTTATGAATAAAACATACTCCCTCTGTCTCAGTGTATTCGTCCAGTTTGACTTTTTTGAGTCAAGTTGGATGAACTTTAATCACCAATTACTTTTAATTTGTATTACATACTGATACAATAATTTAAATATCTAATAGTTCTCAACAAGATAAATTGATTGAAATAATTTTTATACTAAAATAAATTGCCATTTTTATTTAATTGAGATCTAAAGTTCATCTAGTTTGACTTGAAAAAGTCAAACTGTACACTGGGACGGCGATAGTATAAAAAAGAGATTATTTTATAAATAATTGAGATGATTTCAAATATTCATGTGCCGCAAGATGGAATTGTGAATCAGAAATTGCACCTTTTTCCCTACAACTCTCCACGCCATTCATATGGTCAAACCTTTGCACCTTCAAACAAGAAAGAAGTAGAAGCTAAATAATATTCCATTGTAGTTAAAAACTAAAAATACTTATATATACTTGATGAGTGAGCCAAAGCAAAAGTAAAACCACCAAAATATGCCAAGGAAATAAATATAAAAGCCAAGCTTCAGAGCCAAAAAAGAATGTAAACAAAGCGCATGTGAAATGCTACATAATTGAAGAAGATGAAACCTGAAACGGGAAATTCAAATTTTTATCATATTCTGCATCCAAGTTCTTTTACTAACCATTTGATAAACTTTTAAACCATGAATAGGTGGGCATGATAGAGGAAAAGGATGAGTTGTTGGGCAATATTGAAAAAAAATTCAAACCCAGAATTTGTAATTCAGATTATATTCATTAATAAGATCAATACGAAAGCAATAAAACAAATATCCTAACAAGTCAAAGGCTATAGGATTCGAAATTCTTCCACTTCTAGCCATGGGAAAGAGAGGGGTTCTTCATCTATCACAGGGATCTCTTCATATCTCTAACAGAACACAGCTAGGTCAGATGCAAAACGAGTTTAGGGTATCGGGAATGTTGTTAGTTCCGAAAGGGTAGCTTGTTGATGATGGGTGCCAGTTTCTAGCAGCAAGTTTGACGGGTTTTTGGAGAATATGATTTGCACATGGTGGAGATAAGGATGCATGTGACAATACAGAAGCATAGAGCAGGGCTCGTCCTGTGTACTTTGTGGCTTATGGACAAGTTCTCGTCATGAGGCCTATCTTAAAAATTAAAAATTAAGAAACATGCTTTTTGAGCAATTAAGTATAATAAAAACATGTAAGTAAAATATAGAGACAGGAATCACTTCAATAATCATCATATAAATAGCAAATTTTAAAGAAAGTGGCAATACAATATAACAATGGTAGGCTAAAAATTACAAAATTACAAATATTATCTCAAAACATTTCTTGAAGAACATTAGCGAAATTGCCAATGACACCATCATCATCAACATTTCCTAACATGTTATGCTCCGTAGTTAATATTTCCAATCCATTCAAGTATTCAACCTTTCTTGAGACATAGTTGATTGCAAATAGTGTTTAAGAGTCTTCAACTTTGAAAAGCTTCTATCAATTATCAACAACATCATCGAAATCATTGGCAAGGTTATAATGACACATTGACACTAGCCTCTCGTGTCATAATATGACATGGGGCACCTACAATGGTTTCTACCCCTACTACCCTGTGTCATATTATGATGTTGGAGCACAATGTCATTATAATCGCACCGCTAAATAACTGTTTTGTTAAATAGATAGCCAAGTTTTTAACAAAATCACAAATTTCAATGGTTGTGACTTCATCATTCGACAAAAACTTTTGCAACATTCTCAATTGGTAGTTAAGATTCATCATTAACGGGACAATTCGGATTCATTTTCGACCAACCTTTCATGTTATCATTTTAAATCAAAAGAGAATTTGGTAGTTGTGATCCATCTTTAATGGGACAGTTGGGATTCATTTTCAAAAAAAAAAATCCATTGATCTTTTTTTACTTAATATTGCTTCTCTGATACCTGAGTATATTTTCCTCTCTTTATGCATGTTCGCAAGGATAAAACAACAATAAAATGACAAATTCATTTTACTCGTATGTGTGTTTGGTGTATAATGATTAAGAATGTTAATGAGCCTCTACGCTATACTTATGAGTTATGCCTTACAAAATTAGATATACAAACAGTCAAACAACAGAAAATTGCACAAGAATCAATAATTATATGCCTCATTCTGATTTCTGAATCTTAATTACGCATAAGAGAAATATTAAAAAAATAATCACTAATCTGACTAAAGAAATGAATGTTAAAGAAAGCATTCTAAAGTATAAAGATTGAAAAAACAATGTTCGAAAAGGCGGAACGCAAACCCGCCTCAAGGCGCGCCTCGTAACTTTTTCCGGATATTACGCACTGGAGCTAATCCCGTTTTCACGCTATAGGTTTTTTTACGCAATTCTCTGAAAGGCGTACGCCATGGGGCATACGCGCCGGTGCGCGCAATAAGGCTTACGCACTTCAAGGATTAGAAATTTGGAAATTAAACGATTAAAATTTTGGGTATTGAAGGCTAAAGCTGTCAATTACTCCAATTAATTAACCCAATTAAGTGTATATATCCTAAAATTACCCAAAATTAGTGTCGATTACCCTAATCTTTGTCGATTACCTTTTGGGAGCTACGAACCGTCTCCAGCGCCGGCCGTCTTCAGTCTTCTTCTCCGGCAAAAAGGTATGTTTCTTTGTCTGCATCTCTGCTCTTTCTCTCCAGCACATGCAAAGGATAGGGTGCTGCGTTTTATGTCTGCTTGTAATTTTAGGATCTCTGCGTTTTATGTCTGCTCTTTCTTTCCAGCACATCCAACTTAACTTAGCCTTTTTCTCTTTTTACAATTGTCAAGTGGTGCTATTTTTTCTTTTTCTTATTTTTTTGGTAATCTTTTTGTGAAGTACACTAGCATTCAATTGATGTTTTTTATGAGTTTATGATTGGTATTTTTTCAAGTAGTTGGATGAGATGATTTTTTTACCTGTTAATATCCTTTTTTTTCTTCTTTTTTTGATTACTGATGTGCTAATTGTTCTATTTTTTTTGTTTTTAAGATGAATTATTGCATAGTATTGTATTGTTTATTTTAGTGTTTCAGAAATTCCGAGGAAGAGAATGAAGGAAATGCAACATCTTTTGATCCTAATTTCAAGCCGTTAGACACTGATGAACTTTTTTTCAATTCTTCAATTTAAGCTCATCACTTCGAGCAAAATTATGTCTGATTCCATGTTAGACTTTGTTATGTTTGCGATGTATTGCTTTGACAATATACTTTTTTCATGTTTTTGGATTATTTATGTTATACATTATGTTTGGTTTTAAATTATTTTGTGAATGTTTTTCAATTTAAAAATTGAGGCTTACGCCTCAAGGCTTACGCAATACGCCATGAAATGAAAACGCCTCAAAACCGCAATACGCCTTTTCGAACATTGTGAAAAAACACTCATTACCTTAAGGTCTTGAAGAAGTGATTTTATGCTTTGACCATCTTCAGCTTGTTGCATCAGTACTCAGCAAGTCGATCTAAGACCGACATCAGTGCTTTGTCTAGTTGAGATTTTCAGAATTCACTGCATGAGTAGTGCCTTCCGCTAGGGGCCGGAGCTAAATCCACAAGTGCCCTGTGCAAAATAAAATTTGTGGCCCCATTACACCTCATAGTAGCAAAATTTACATCAATTTCATAAGTATAAAATAGAGTAAATTATATAAAAGGTCCCCAGTTATAGATCGTTTTACATATTTAGTCCCTACATATCAAATATTACTAATTTAGTCCCCAATTATTATATTTATTTCCACGAATGGTCCTTTGTTAACATTTCCGTTAAGAACGTGGATAAAATTGTATATTCATACTTCTCTCTCCTCAATTAAGCTTTTCTTCATCTTCTCATACTCTTTCCCAAACTCGTCGCTGAGTTTGAAGCTCTTAAACCCAAAATTTAAATGATCGTTCCTCCAGTTAGACAAACAATTGAGAGAAGAGTGATGATTTTGGTTTAGGGTTCAAAGCTAGAAACTCAGCGACGGGTTTGAGAAAGGAGTACAAGAGAGGAGAAAGCTTAATTGAGGAGAGAAAGGAGTGTGAATTTATAATTTTATCCACGTTTTAATGAAAATGTTAACAAAGGACCATTCGTAGAAATAAATATAATAATTGGGGACCAAATTAGTAATATTTGATATGTAGGGACTAAATATGTAAAACGACATATAACTGGGGACCTTTTATGGAATTTACTCTATAAAATATTATATATGTTACAATAAATATGAAGTAAAGAAATCTAATTAAAAGTTCACAATTTACATAAAGGGGGACATCTTTTTTGCATGTTTAGTTGCAAATCATCTTGAACTACAAAGCATTAATTTTTGTTTCTTCTCAAGTTTCACATTCAAAAGATTCAAGCTATATGCCAATATTAGAGCCAATTCATTTCTAAACTTTTAATCCTCTTTGCATGTATCTAAACTAACAGAATTTGAGATTATGTGAGTCATTCAAGTTTCCTTTTCTTTTTAGGTTGAACTATAACTACAAGTAAAACAATATGCGAAAGAAATGTAAAACTCAAAGAAATTGATGAATTACTAAATCATTATACAGAGTATCATATTACTTCTAAATAGATTGTAATGAGTGTTGCATGTTCTAAAAAATGTAAAAAAAAAAGGTTTTTATAATAAATCTCAAAAAATTAATTAATAAATTATAAGATAATTTAATTTTATTGAACAATTTAATAAATTTCAAAAAAATTAAATTTTCTAAGGCAACTTAATAAATTTAAGAAAATGAATGGAATTTTTGAAGAACATGTCAAGGCTAAATGACTAAATCATATACTCCGTGCACTAAAATATCATATACTCCGTAATATTCTACAATGGCGCTGTTAAAGGCTTTGTGTTTTAGGATAAAACATAGGAAATGAGAAGGATAACCCAAAGAAATTTCAAACCGAACCTGGAGAATCGCTGAACCGGAGATGGGGAATCAGGAAAAGGGATTGCAGGTGGATCCTAAATTGAAGCTCGACCCTCGCCGGAGTTGCTCTCTCGGTCCGGCAGCTCCACCGACTCTCTCTGTCTCCAGGTAGGTTCCGACTCTCTCTGAGTATCCGCCTCTCTCCGTCTCAGGCTCGCAAGGCAGATAGGCGCAGTGGAAGCCAGCCGTGCCACCCGTCTTGGCACCGCTTCAGGTTCAGTCTGCCACCGTCCAAAGCTGTGTGAAGGAAGCCGCTGTCGAGGTTCGCAATATAGGCTATGGGGGTAACAAGATTTTTCAGTAGAAGCAAAATAACAAGATTTTGATTTTCTTAAGATGGATTATTCAACCTGATGAGCAAACCTTAGATATTACAGCAGATGTTCTTGAGCATAATTGACTACACCATTGATTACAAAAAGAAACAGAGCAGCGAAGATTGACGAAAATGCGAGACAATTAGGGCTATGAGGGAGATTTTGTGAATGAATTTATATTTATACACAATGCTAAAAAATTCATCAAAATCCACCTTTTTAAAAATATCTAAAAAATTATGAAATTGTTGAATACTATCATATTTAAAAGGATTTTTTTAAAATTTCTATTGAATACACCCAAATTTTAAATGACTTTTTTAAATCTGAATTGAATAACTACAAAAAATCCATCAAAATTCTGATTAAATACATCCCCTAAGATAGAGTAATCTTGAGAGCATCTCTAAGAGGGTGTTTGGGAGCGTGGTGACTCATGTAAAAGTAGAAGTCATAATTTAGAAGCAGAAAACATGTATTTTTAGCCTTGCTAGAAAGCTTTTCTAGATCTTAATTTTAACTTCTAAAGCCATAATTTATAAGTTAAAGCAGATTAGCAAATATATAAAAGAGTGTTTTACTCTGTAGTAAAGTAGAAGCTATAAGTTATTCTCAAATGCAATCCCAAACACCTTTAACTCATTGTGGAAAAAGTTTACACTGTCAACACTCTTTTATATATTTAGTTTTTTATGCTCACTTCAATCATATTTTTTATATAATACACTTTAATAATATTTTATTACTTTAAAGTATTTTTTATGATAAATATATTTAATTTTTGGTTTAATTACAATCAAATCTATGATATACACAATCTAAGTGATCTATTTTGATACTTTTTTATGTTTTAATCTTATTTATGGTGATTTTTTTTCTTTTCTCTCTTCATTATCTATCTATCACTTTATTATTTTATCACACTTTTTTTAAAACCAAAGATTGCATTAAATTAATGGAATGATGAAATCTGGGGGTAAATGAACCCATTCACCCAAGCTCTGAGAAGAATGAGAAGCTTGCGCCAACACATGCGTTGCCTCATTAGCAGAGCAATATACAAACTGAAAGTAAAAAACTCCCCTACATAAGACAACAAGGGTTTTACAATCATCAATAATTGAAGAGAAATAAGACCAATATTGTGATGAATTATTGACCCATAGAAGTAATAGCTAGTCTTGTACAACCATGGGTCCATGTATATATAGATGATGAAGCTCTAGATATAGCTGATACTCCTGATAGATTTTAAATTGGTTGATCTGTTGGAGCCCAAAAAGATGAACGGTAAAGATTAAAAAGAATGTATTCAATCTAGATTTTGTGATTTTTTGGATTTTAGAATTTAATGAGTATGAATTGAGATTTTAAAAAGTATTTTAAAATCTAAGAATATTCAATTTGGATTTTAAATTGTCTATCGAAATCTAATGGTATTAAACATTTTATAGATTTTAAAGGATTTTTATTATAGGTAGATTTTGATGGACTTCACACTTATTTTTCTTAATAAAATTCTTCTCACAAATCTCTCGTCCCAACCATGGATTTTCAAGGAAACTTTAGCCTGGGAGATATATAGGTACATATAGCCTCGGATTTCTGCTTTGTTACTGTTGTTGTGAGCTTTCCACCATAATCATTGTTTGAGCTCTAATCTTCCGTTCATTCATTGTTCATCTTCAATTGCATATTTGCACGTGCTTTTGTTCCTCCTCTCCCTTATTCTTTGTTATGGTGCTTGCATAGAATCACACAATTGAACAAAATCCTTCAAAATCCTCATGATGAAATCTTTTAAAATCTATCTAACTCTGTATAGAATTAAAAAAATTTATAGATTTCACATAATCCATGAATTCTAAAGAATTTATAAATATCTTTTAAGATATGTATTAAATACACCCTTCTAAAAATGCTATTTTTTGTTTTTAACTGATGCATTGGAGATGCTTGACAAAGTAAAAAACTTATATTTATTAGAAATTTTCATATTTAACCTTTTTAGAAAATGTTATTTTTTAAAAATAAAGAAGCCTCTTGCGAAACACAACGTGACACCGTTCAAGAATCATGTTTGCAAAACTATTGATGCAATCTCTCAAAATAGAAATCAAAGTCTTACTTGGAGTTGCAAAGACTAGCAGGATTTTGTTAATAATGTGTCCACTTGATATTTTTGAGTCCTTATCCTAAATTTAAATCAAGATTAAACAATTTATATTCAAGACAACTTATAGTTATCAATATTAACTATGATTGGGTTGTAATAAGTTATTTATATGCTATCAAGGACCTAGAATTCAATAGAGCGATTGATGTTACAAATATATGTATGATTACAATTGACTGAGAAGACGAACGATCACGAAAGATAAATCATATAAGTATATGAGAGGGGTGGAGTGAATATCACATATGAATTTTGCCTCCCTTGAGCATGGATTTCCCTCTCTCTATAATACTTCCTCTATCCTAAAAAGATTTACATTGTTACTATTATGGTAACTCGATAACTTTTGCTTATTTGCATATTTTTCATTGATTATTTGATAAAATTAAGCATTCTTGTTATTCCTTGTTTTGTAGAACTTTTGATGCCGTTTTAAATATGTAAATTGTACATTTTGTCTTTATATCAATTTAAAATAAAATAATTTTAAAAAAGATAGAATTGTGTATGTTGTTCGAATAATGCAAAAGAAATTTTGGATGGATCATAATTGATTATAGCGCACCCAAGTAGCAAAAAATAAATAAATAATATATATACATTAAAATTTAAAATAAACTTCTATTTTAAAAATAGAAATGTCTTAGAACTAAACAAATTATATAACGCATATTTTAATTTTATTAAATAAATAAACTTTATTTGTAGAATGTAAAAAATTTTGAATGTATACAAGTTCGTGTAAAGTAGAGGTTAATAGTAGTAGTTTAATATTCCACACAATGACATAACTGAATCAATCACAAAAATAGATTTGGAGTTGTGCTTTGATGATCATTAGATCTATATGTAAAATGTGGACTTTTGACATAAAGATCTTTTATTTTTTTCAAAGAGCCCAATTCATCCAAAGCATGTTGATGGGTTTTAGAACTCGGGACCTAAGAGACTAGGTAAAAGAGTATCGAACAAGGACCGAGTGCCTTTGGTTGCAAGAGTAGGGTAAGTATATTAGCTTGGTAGTAAAATGAACGTGTCTTTTTCTCCTCTAAGGGATGAGTATTTATATAATTCCTTCTTCTGCTTGGGCTTCCTAGTCGTTAGTCTACAACCTATTGGGCTGGGCCCACCAAGTCAAGCCTTTTGATTGGTGGCGTAAGAAACATGATTACAAACTAGGGTGGCTACAACTAACTTACAAACAATAGGGTGGCTACAACCAATTGTACAAACAAGCGTAACTCATCCTGAGAAGGCTAGAACATATCAGCATTAGCCTTGTTAGCCATGGGAATGAGCCATATCATGCATTTGGTCATTTCCCCCTTCGGTATATGTCATCTCATGACTCCATCTAGAGAAGAGCATAAAGACCGGGACCGAAAAGATTGACCGAGACTGACTAGGATTTGGACTTGAAAGATTGAGACCGAAGTAGTCCTTGAGACTAGTCTAGTCCAAGACCAGTAGTCTCAAATGTTCCTTAATATTTAAAGAAGACTAGGACTAGTCTAAGACTAGTAAAAGACATGTTAAGGACCTGAACTGGTCCGGGACTAGCAAAAGATTGGTCTAAAGACTAGGACTAGTCCAAAAGACTAGTCCTCTAGAGTCTAATTATATTACTTGTAAATTACGGAGTATATAGGGAGTAGTATATACCGAGTAGTACGTATAAAAATCTTAAAAAAATAATATAGAGTAATACAAACTAGAAATGATTAATACTTCTTGGCTTCCCCTATACCCTAAGTATTTTCTTAGAGTTTCAAGATAACCTCAAACGTTACAACACTCTGTCCTAGAGCAGTAGAGTTAGCCCCTAGAGATGTCCCTAAAGAATTAGCAATTGAGCGAGCGAAGTGCAACATGCAATCTCGACCGATGCGAAAAGAGTTGATGGACTATTTGGTAACCCTGGCACAACATCGCAAACTGGAATCTTAACCCAATATGTTGGGACTAGAGACCGGACCGGATTGGACTACCGACCGGACTAGATTGGACTATTGGTCTTATTTGGTCTTTGATTTTAATAAGAAGACCGGACTAGTTAGGACCGGGTTTTTAAAAAGACTAGTCCGGTCCAATCCTTTACTGTAGCAGTCTTTTCTAAAGACCGTAAAGACCGGTCTAATCTGACCGCATCGATCCTTTTGCTCATCTCTAACTCTCCATCCACTCTATATGATGCCCATATATGTTTCATGTGTATGGGACTATGGGCCTCCCTCACGCCAAGTTTGGTCACTGGCCCAACTTGCTTAATTAAAGTTATCTTGAAGTATATAAAATATACTCTGTACATTTTTTAGTTATAATTGACCATTTCACTAACTAGTTCAGCTTATTAGCCCTTGACTTACTCACTCATTCGTGTCAACATTCGACATAATTTAAGCACATTCTCTCTTTTTTTATATTAAAAAATATACTCCGTAGTCTGTAATATTTCGAGTAGTTAACAAATTCAAAATATATAATCTAGTTTACAACGCTCTACATAGATCATTGATTATGACTTTGTAAGGGAACATTGTTTTTTATTTGCGTTAGGATTTTAAATAAAATTTTAAAGGCCGCCGCCAGATAGTCTTTCAAAACACTAACGTAAAACTCTAATGATGTTGTCAAGCCAGACTAATAGTTCAGCCGCCATATCGTATTTTACTTTTACCACAACAAATACCCCGATATAATGGTGATGACACTAAAAATGAAGGAAAAAATCATTTCAAAGTTCAAACATTTATTTATTTTTCAGATGAATTATAAATTTACAGGAAAAATAAACATATAGTCCTAACTATTACAAAAAAAGAGTTGCCACTTGCCAGTAATCAGCTCCCACTTCACCTCCGCGGGGCGGGTTTGTAAAGCACAGTGGTAACATATTCGGAGCCAAGTTGTTGCGTTGTTGACACGGCAACGGCTTCCACAGGAAATGATCGGCTTTTGTTTTGAGCAACCGTGTACACATGGTTTAAAACCACATGGTTGGGTGGCGGCGACGAGGATGAGGCATCTCCACCTCTTGTGCTCATTTTGTTTAACACACACGTCTTCAGATGTGGAGGGAGCCGCGGAGGTCCCCGTTTTTCCTCTTCTTCCGTGATGTAGAAGATATTGTCGTAGCTTGACTCCGGGGGTGGTGGGGTTTCAAACCCAGGGACAATTGGTTCACACTGCACACATATAACATACATTAACTCAGATCTATTAAGAACCCAGAAAACCTTATCACATTTCCAAACATAACCTCAAGAAAGGTTCAACGAATGCCATCATGTAAAGGGTATGATTGTAAAAAAACATGGCATTCACTAAACCCTTCTTGGGCATTTTGATACGCTTAATTAGACTCTCTGCTTACTTCATTTCTGACTTGTGGTGGGTTGTTCATTTTGAAGAAGTTTAGAGATATAGAGACCTTGGCAAGGATGAATATCTGGTCTTAAATGGAAGAGCCTAAAAACAGATATTGTTATTCTGCAATGTGAACAATAGCTTTCAAATTATAGTCATAACTTATAGCCAAATGTACAAAATCCACATATGCACACAAAAGTTCAGTCAAGAACAATCCCTAGCATCCTTGCCACATTTGGAAGAAAACACAGAAATGGTGATTAATCAACATACTAAGAATTGATGATCTTCTTCTTCAAACTAAGTCTTCAATGAGTTCCCTCTTTATCATCCTTCTCGAATGAGTTTGATATTGTTTGAAGAGAAACATCGGTATCTATAGAATGTGTTAGCAACATTAATGAATAATTTAACCCCATACATGCAAAATTCATGGGATTCAATTCCATAGAATTAAATTCACCAATTCCAATTCATTTTTTGCACTATCAATTCCAAATTTACATAATTTTTGTGCTACCAAACACCAAAATTGGAATTGAAGTCCTCAATTCCAATTCCATAGTTTGAATTCCATGTACCAAACGGGTCCTGAGTATTTGGTTGAGTTGGTTCTTTGACACTTAGCTTCTACCTATCAATTGTAATTAATACGGAGTATGTTAATTTCCACAATTTTCAACAAAAGCACATATGTTAACTAGCACTTAGTTATTATAAGTTAGTTGCAAATGATGAATTATCCTATTACCTCTAATTCTCTAAAGCTCACTTTCCAAATAAATACAGTTTATTAAATTAATGGGATGATTTCCTATTTTATCGTCAACTCAAAATTGGACATTTTTTGTTGTTATATTTTAAGAGATAACTTTGAGTTTCCAATTTTCACTTGCAAATCACGTTGATTGTTTTCTTTTTTTTGTTTTAGATTTATATCGAAAAATGGTAGGAAGCATTTGCAAACCATACTTATGACTTTATGAGAATGGTGTGTGTGGTTCTAGCTTACTTTAATATAGTTTTTTTACTCTTTAGAGCATAGGAAGGCCTTAGAACATTTTTTCCCCAAACCTAACACTCGAGTGAGATATAATGGATTTGTTTGGTTTTGTTTACTTAGAAACTACAATTTCATCCAATAACAGGGCGGGGGAAAAAACTTAAAAATTTCATATGGACCTATATAAAATATTCTACTAACTGGTAACCACTTAAAATCAACAAGTATCACCATTTCTAGCATAAATTTGGATAAGTTCACTATTGGTGACTGTGGACGCTTGGGTGTGTGAATTTCTTTTTTTTTTGTAAAAAAAAAGAGCTCACTGTTTTTTGAGCAAGATTGAATCTTCCACTGTAAAAAAATCTTACAACAGTAGTTTAACACTATGTTTGGTTCAAGGAATTTGAAATGGAAAAGAAAAGAAAATGAGAAAGAAAACAAAATTTTATGTTTGGATAGAGAGAAAAAGAAAAGAAAACTGGAAGGAAAAGGAAATGAGAAGACAAAATATACTAAGAGGATGGAAAATCAAATTCCTTTGATTTTGGTGAGGAAAATGAGAGAAGCCGAGGGAAAACTATTTTCTTTTATTTTTCTTCCAAATTGCTTGAACCAGACATAGTGTGAAGGTTTTAGAATGACTTGACACCCTCCATCCAATGCACCTTAAAAAACCAAATGACCAGACCAAAACTGTCCAATTTGTGAAGCCAATAATCAAATTAAACCTACACACATATAATCCTACCACACATATTCAATCAATTAAATTGGATATTCAAACAGAGAAAAAAACCAACAAATATAATCAGAAGAAGAAGAAGATGATGATGATGATGAAATGGACCTTGAAAGGGTAAAACATAAGAGCAGAAGAAGTGAGGGGCCAAAGAAGCATGAGAGAACAGAGGAAAGCATACGATTGAAAAGAAATTAAGCAGGAAATTCGGGGGTGAACAAGCGTTAAAGCGTGAAGAAGCCATGAAATGAAATTCATAAAAATAAAAACAACACTTAGATTTCTTAATGTTAGATTTATATGGAAAATGCCAAAATGGTAGGAAGCATTTGCAAACCATACTTATGAAAATGGTGGTGTGTGTAGTCCTTTTTACTCCTTAGAGCATAGGCAGGACTTCGAACAATATCCCCCAAACCTAACTCTTGAGTGAGATATAATTGATTTGTTTGGTTTTGTTTACTTAGTAACTACAACTTCATGAAATAACAGGGGGAAAAGCTTATAATTTTTATATGGTCCTGCATCAAATCTTCTACAAACTGGTAACCACTAAAACCCAACAAAAAATATAATCATTTTTAATCAATAGCGTAAGTCTAGAAAATTTTACTGTTAATCACTATGGGCTCTTGGGTGTGTGAATCACTATGAGCTCACTGTATTTTGAGCAAGAATCTTCCATTGTAAAAATCATTTTCTTAAAAAATCATTCTAAAAATCCTTAAAAAACAGTACTTTAAAGGTTCCAGAATGAAATGACACCCCCATCTAATGCGCCTTAAAAAAATCATATTACCAGACCAAAATTGTTCAATTATGAAGTCAATAATCAAATTAAAGTTCAAAAATACTACACACACATCATCCCACCATGCATGTGTAAATGTGTAAACAATTAAACTGGAAATTAAAACAAAGAAAATAATCAACAAATATAATCTAAAGAAGAAGAAGAAGAAGAAATGGACCTTGAAAGGGTTAAGCAGAGGAGCATAAGGAGTAAGTGGGGAAGTAGCCACCTTCCCTTACTTAAAAGCGACAAAAAAGCCTGAGAAAAACGGGAGAAAGCAAAGGATTGAGAAGAAATTAAGCAGGAAATTTGAGGGGCAAAGAAGCGTTAAAGCGTGAAGGAGCCATGAGATGAAATGCATAAAATAAAAATAAAAACATACGCAGGAAATGTGAAGAGGGCAAGGCACACCCCGCGAGGGTTGATGCCCAACTCCATGTGAGATCACCTTCACCTCCATCTCATCCCCTTGTTTGCTTTGAACGCGTGAAGCTGATTTGCGTTCGATAACCCAAATCTTGGGTGAGATAGAGAGAGCCTAGAGGCGTTCCATTTATTAACCTCTGCTTTTTTAGCTTTTGTTTAGATGAATGGTTAAAAATTGAGTACATATATTCCCTCTCTCCCATTTTAAATTGCATATTTGTCTTTTTTCTCCATCCCATAATAAGTTGTCTGTTACTTGTTTTTGTAAATTTTTAAGAGTAAAATACCTAAACTACCCTTAGAATAAATCACTCTTCTCCACCTTATCTTCTCATTCATCGTCACTCCTCCTAAAAAATAATGACAATTTCAGAAAATCAACTCTATATTTTCTTTTCCTTAAATATGTCCAAAAGTCAAAACAGACGATTTAAAACGAGACGGAGGAATTAAAAGAAAAAGATGGTGGATTACATATTACTTACCCCTTTTGCGGAGTACTTTATTAGAAAAGTAATGAATTTGGGATGAATGACAACATAGTTTTCAGAACCGGACCGGTGACCGAACCGGTCAAGGTACTGGTTCACTAGTTTACTGGTCGAACCAGTAGTTCAACTGGTCGAAGTGGTTTAAACATATTTAAAAATTATATAAATATAAATAAATAAATATATATATGTGTGTGTGTGTGTATGTATATGTATATATATTTACACATACATACATACATACATATAGACACACACACATTCTTATTTATAAATATCTAAAAAAGTAATTTATAAATTTAAGTAATATTATATTAATATACTTGAGTTATTTTATAAAATTAAAAAATAAAATTTACATATTAAAAAATATAAAAGAATTTTAAATGAAGAGTTGATTTTATTTTTTTCAAATAAGTTGTTTAATATTTAAAAAAACGAAATCTTTGCATGATTTGCATTTTGTAATAGTATCAATAATATCAATGATTTCGTGTTTGACTCATAACTATATAATATTATATTTATAAAATTGAAAAAAATTTATATACAATTTTTTTGTAATTATGAAATATTATAAAAGATTATGTGAATATGTAACAAAAAGCACTATTGGTTGGATTGTTAGGAGCTCAACCAAATGTCTAAGAGGTCTTGGGTTCAAACTCCCATGGAGACATGTTTTGGAAAAAATCAGCAAAAAAAAGGAGACATGTTTTGGAAAAAATCAGCAAAAAAAAAAACCAAATTGGGCGCACCGGTCCAACCGGCCGGTTCTTACTGGTTCGGGCCGGTTCGAAGCAGGTTACGGTCCAATGGGCCGGATCGGTAGGACCGCCGGTTCACGGTCCGAATCGATCGGTCCGGTCCGGTTTTTAAAACTATGAATGACAAGGAAAAGTGAGACGATTATCTCGGGACTCCCTATTGTATTTTAATATATAATAATACTTTTCTTTAATTTAAATCAAAGTTCATCTAATTTGAACAAAAAACAAATTGAATGAATAATCTGGAAGAGAGACATTATGTAACAACCCAACTCGTATAATCCAAATACATGGATCAGCGGGTCGAATGCTACCAAATTACTCCGTAGTATCCAACATCACGCTTTTCAGATGATTTAAAACCATTTAAATTAATAGATTATTTCAAAATCCATCGGAGAAAATGAAAATATGCTTAGGTGTTGAACCAAAACACAACTTTAGGTTCATGCCTGAAATAAAATAAGTTATGTAAAAATAAAGAGCATTTCTAATAATCAAGCATATACTCGCACATCTCCGCATCCTCGTTGCCATCCAAGATTGGTTTGGGTTCATATTATCCTTGGTTACTTGCATGTAGCAAACAAATACACTACACGCTCAGCGATGAAGGAGAGCGAGAAATATCTAACATTTGAACATATACGTAAGCGAATCCACTAATTTATAATTATCACATGATATCAATACATACAACAAAAAAAATACCACATAAAAAGATCATAACAGTATTTATTATGTTTGACTCAAAAATTAGTTAAAATTGAAGAGTACAATTGAAGGGGGTAGGGGGTCAATTCGAGTCAAGTCGGGGTGGGTAAGTTTACAGGAGGGTAGAAACCGTCAATTTTTCTAACAGAGCATCGTAAGGGCCCACTTGGAGCTCGATCATAGTATGACACTGGGATTCAATGTCACTTGAACCTTCCCATCAAATATCACTATATGGTTATGTCTTTTCATCTTACGCTCTCTTAAGCGGTATGAAGTGGCATGAGGTGGTGTCACAAATAATAATACTCCGTATAAATTACAAGGTTCGAAAAATGTGCAACATCTACATAATATTGATAATAATTCAGGATGAGGTGAATTGAAGGAGTGGGATGAGGGTTGAAGCCAGTTAGGATTCAAAACCGGCACAACAAATTGCCACTATTTGACAAAAAAAGAATGAGCCACATCCCCGAAAGCTCCCTCAGACCCGGCCAGACGGTCACTGAGAAGAGATAAATTGGACTTTAATCGCAAATTGGTGGCAAAAAGTGGTGCATGCACCTAGTATTTGAAGATGACAGAGGCTCTATGCTTAGCATAGTTGCCTCCCATCGCAGTTGCTAGGAATCAAATTTGGGTCTTACCCCTTGGCACCCCTTGCCTTGCCAACTGCGCAATGCCCATCGGCAATCGCCACTATTTGACAAATAGATCACCAACGTTTTGTCTTCATCCAACACATTCTAGGGTCTGTAGTCATTCTTCAGGGAGGAGATCTAGGAGGAGAGAACCTTAAAAAACAATTAAGAAGTAAAATTGGATTAATTGATTGTGGTGTTGCCAAGTAACATTCGGCGCAAATTATAACGTACAGCCGGCTGTACGGGAAGAACCGTACAGCCGGCAATTAATTAGGGCGAATAGAGGAACTGCGACAAGAAGAACAGACGAATCGATCGGCCATGGAGGTTGCGCGATGGGACTGGTTGGATTCCCGATAGGCGATTTGCAAATGAAGGTCCAATCGGCCGATTATGGAGGTTGTTTGGAAGTCCGATCCGCAATTGGACGATGAAGTCTAATTAGCTATCTGAACGCTGCTTGATATGCGAAGATCTAGTCTTCTAGTTGCTATGGTCTTCGGCTTTCTATAGATCTTTTCCACTTACCAAATTTCAACGACATATGAATAGTAAGTTGTTTAAGATTGAGTAGTAGGTTATATAGGGATGAGTACTACGGGATTTTAGAATGAATATTATGTTATTCGTAAATGAATATTGAACAAATTTGTAAAAATGAGTACGTCGTTATTTCTGAATAAGTACTGCGTTATTTCAGAATGAGTACCACGTTTTTCAAATGAAACATTATGTTTGTGCGAGAATGAGTACTACTTTACTCTGGAATGAGTACTACATGGATGTACCTATCTCTAGGTAAATCCGGATGTACCATATACACTCTCTCAACATTCGGCGTGTTAAAGTTTTTGGTGAATGTACAGACCATCAGTCTTTCGTTGTCATATACTCAATGTAGAAAATTGGCAATGCAGAGTGTCCAACCGACATAAAAGATGACTCCAAAATTAAAGGTGATTTAAAAAAAATAAATTAAAAACTGGTTTCTTAATATAAATTTGATTTTGAAACAATTTTCCTTAAAATGGGTCTTATTTAAATAAGTTGAAGATTCATATTTTATACTATGTAGACTTTATGAACACAATAGAAAAATCTTTTCTGGTTCCCAGCATGCCTTGAAGTAACTAGCATCAGGTAAACTGATTAACTGCAGCAGAAAGAAATATTCACTAGCCATAATAACAGGCAAGCTTTCAACCTAAAATGCTTTAAAAATCCGGAGCAGATCTTGCTCCGGAGTTCATCCGTCAACAGCAATACAAACAAAGCTTTGGGAATTTGAGGACATGGAAATAATCCTAAATGGTACTCTAATGTTTTGTTGCAGCGATTATTCGTAACCCTTTTAGGAGATCATAACAACCAACTTCTGCCTCAACAAAGCTGACTACTGCAAAAGAAACTGAGGGCGGGTTTAGATCTGTCCCAAGATGTAGGGGTGTAAATGGATAACCCAAAATCCGATTACCGTCCGCATCCGTATTCGTTTAAATGGAAAAAATCTGCATTCGCTTTAAACGGATATTATCCGTATCCGATTAAGCACATCCGATTGATAAACGGATGCGGATTTGGTAATTACAAATCCGATCCGTTTAAAATCCGATCCGTGTATACATCCGTTTATATATCCGCATATCCGATTATCCGATCCGTTATACCGAATATAGGTAATAAAAAATTATCCGTAGTTAAAAAAAATTATCCGTAGTTTAGACTAATTAATATGTTTATGTATACTCCTAGTCCTAGTTTTCTAATTTCTACCCAGCCCACTAAGCCCTAAATGGCCCAAAACCTAAATACATACCTAATACTTTTTTTTTCCGGAACCAGGCATCCACTCCATCCAGCGAGGCAGCGACCAAGTGACGAACTGACCTAGCGGCGTCTTCCTCAGCTATTCTTCGAATCCGGCAACCAGCGGCAGCGTCGCAGCGACCATTTCAGCACCTCAATCCTTAGCATCATCATCTACTCTCTTTTTTGATTTTAGGTACAAACTCTCAATTATACGGATTCGGACTCTGGATTTTTTTATTAGTCGGATGCTTCATCGGATTCGGATAACGGTTTTGCTAGTCGGATTCGGATACGGTTATAGTACATCCGAAACGGATATTATCCGTTTACACCCTTACCAAGATGACATCCCCACCAGAAACTTTGAACTCAGATGGAACTTTTTCAATGTTGAGAACCTTGACATGTCCATCAACGACGTATGCTGACCACCTGCGTTCAGTAACACGAGAACATTGAGCGAGGGTGCCCTAGTTTAGTTAGGGTAATCGGATTCCACCCCAAAATTTTCAAAGTTGGGGTGCATAAGCATTTAGAAAGCAAGCAGTTGCTGTCAAAGCTCAAAACTAGTCTTAATTAAAACAAACCATTCGAATATTTAATGGACTTTGCTTCAGGGCTCCCTCCCAAGGGTGCCCCCAAAAGGGTACTCCATGCTCTTTCTTTCTTGTTCTTAGAATCTCACATTCATGAGCTCATGTACATGTCCATATGATAACAGGAAAGAGAGCAGGAGCATCCTTGGGTCCCTTTAATGTTTTCCTTTTATGATTGGCTTGTTTTTATACCTGTGGGAGCGTGTTCCAAGCAAAGCACCAGATAGGTCGATGGTTAAGTCCAAGCTCTTGTGGAAATTCCCTTCAAAATCGCCATAGAACTCAATCTGTACAATTTATATCTTACATGTATCAATTCAACCTTCAAAGTTCTGATTTCCAAAAACCATAAATAAATACTCCATCCCACAATTAACTTCACACTTTGACTTTCATACTCACCAATGCGACGTTTTGAGAATTGCGTAGTAATATTTATGATTATAAATAATTAAATGATATAAACCCAATGATATTCTAAAACTACATTTCAAAATGAATCTAATGACATTAGAGTTAAATTATAACTCAATGTATTTTTCAATGATACCATCAAAGTTTATAAGTTTTGACTACAGAAGTCAAATTGTGAAGTTAATTGCAGGGCAGAGGAAGTAATTCATAAATCCTTCATTCTTGTATACTGGCAGTGGTCAAATGAATTAGTTTGTTTCAGGTCCTTCATTAATCTAGTTTCCTCCTCAAGATTGATTGGATAAATAGACACATTAGACAGAACTTTAATTTGACGGAAACAGGACAAGAAATTACTTCAACGGGTGGTTTAAGGAGAAGTGCGCGAAATAACTACTAGGAGTAATGGCACGGACAGAAGTCACAAAAGACTGAAGCCTTGCTTTCTTCGGGAGGGATGTATCTCAGCTTGAAGCCATCCACTGGAGGACAAGCCTTCCGTCCATCTCTTGTTCCCTGTCCTTCGTACGTCCCTTTCTCCTCGTCCTTGTCCCTTCAATTGAAGGGGGGACTACTCTAATCTCTTCCATAGGATTCCTTCCTTTTGGGTAGCTTCTTCCTAATGGGCTGGGCTTCAGCCCATCTTATTAGGAAGAAGCTACCCAAAAGGAAGGAATCCTATTAGGAATCCTAGGCCCAATCCGCTGGTATTCTGTCGATGGGCTTGGTTCCCATCACATGCCCCTTTTTTTACAAGTCAAAAAATAAAAATTTTTTTGACTGTAGTCTTCCTTGCATCTTTAATTGGAAAATTTTTCCTCTTCTCCTCTTTTTTTTTCTTCTGAGAAGGATTCTTTTAAGGGAAAAACCCCTCTGTGAAACTTTATTCTGTACTTTTACTCCAGATGATGTTTCCCATGGATGAATAATTGAGTGAGTGAAGTGCACGTGGCACACTCCCATTGGACCGTAGTGTTGCAGGTCTGTCCATCTGCTGCCTGGTATGCAAATGGTCACTGGACACCTCAATAATGGTGGACTGTTGGCAGAGGAGTAATGTCACAAGGCGTGGACCGTATGCATGGGAAAATGCATTAGGGAACGGACCGCTAGGAACTCCCACCCCTCCAATGTCCAGGGCCCACCTTTCAAAAAGTTGCAACCTTTTTTGACCGATTCTTCGGATTCCTTTAACAGTTATACTCTCAACTGTACATCATTCAAAGCCCTCACCCCACCATAATAATGGTGGGACCGTTGGCAGAGAGAAATGTGGACTGCGCTTGGGACGCCTTCATTTTAGAGTGGACCGTTCCTATTTCCTCTCTTCCCCTCCTATAAAATCGGTCCATCTCCTCTCTTCTCTCTCACGCTTACACAATACTCCACAATCCTTTGCTTTCATTCTTGCAGAACCGGCCCTCTTCCTTCCCTTTTACTCTCTCCCAACATGAAGAAGACAATCTCTAAGGTTTCCAAGATCTTCAACGGTGGTAAGAAATCCAAGGAGGACGAGAGTGTTTCCTCCATTACTCCCGCGCAACTGGGGGAGATGAGGAGGACGATTCCTCCTAATTACGAAGTCCAGGAAGCCATGGGGACTACCTTGGAGCGCAACCCCAACACCTCCCGCCAGTTGATCGTCCACTACGACTCGGTTAGGATGGGATGGCGTTTTCCTCTCCATCCCCTCTTGATAGAGATTTGCAATCGCTACGCCATCACTCCCGGCCAGATCTCCTCCAACTCTCATGAGAGTCTCTTTGGCTTCTTGGCGCGATGTCATAAGAGAAGCATCCAACCAACTTTGAAACTCTTCCTCTCTTTCTTCCGCCCCCACAAATATGATAGCGATTCGGGCCGGGGTTCGTGAGTTTCACGGCCCGGACCAAAATGCAATTTTTGGAGAGCCCCGTTGACAAGCTTGACGATTGGTTCCACCGTTTCTTTGTGGTGGCAGTCCCGGAGAATCTCCCCTTTCCCAACGTATGGCGAAAGAAGGAGGACAAATTTCCTTCTCACACTTTTCCCCCTCGCGACACAGAACTCGAGGGGGTTTTCCGTCTTCTCCTCAAGAACGGTCATCCGGTCCCCCGAGCGCTTCTCTTCAAGGATTCATATTTCCGGGGTCTCGGATATTGGGTGTCTCCCAATATCCCTCTTCAAGAGCCGTCGGGAAACACCACTTCTTCTTGGGTTCCTCTCCTTAAGAATACTCGACTCTGCCGGGGACCGCGTCGGTCCTCTCGAAGGGATCCTTCCCCGGAAGAGGACACCGAGGGCGAAGAAGCAGGGTCCGTGACTGGAACCCAACCTCTGTCACTTGTCGACCGTCTTCCTCTTTCGGAAGAGGTGGTGGTTGAGGATGTCTCCGACGATGATGGCCTCTACGACTTCCCTCCGGGGACCTTGAGGGGATCCAGTCTTATCCCCGGTGTTCCCCACACTCCTCTTTTTGGCAGGGGGACTTCTCCTTCTGCTCAGTTCATGGGCCCATTGGGTTTCCATCCCCCACCCAGTGGGACCCTTCCAATTGGGCGCGCCACCGGTTCACAAGGGTCCCTCGAGCCGCCTCATGTCCAGGTGGCCGGAATTGGGATCCCATGCAGTACGGAGTCTCCTTGGGAATATTCCCCCTCCTCTGGCTGTGGGGGGAATGAAGCGATTTCCCAGCCCCAACCGTCTACTGCCCAAAATTTTGCAGAGTCAGCAGTGGAGAGTATTTTTGGGACGCCCCTTGGCCAGGGCGGCGTCCCTCTCCCTGGAGCAAACATCCATCAATCTTTCATGGAGATGGAGGAGTTAATTCGGTCCTCCAGTTCTGGAAAGGCTACTGTCCCGTCCTCCATCCGAGCCATGTGTCCCTCATAAGTAAGACGCTCGCTCTCGAGCGAGCGGCGTGCCTCATCCAGGGAACTCCGGGCTGAACGCCTCTCCTCCATAAGAGTCAGGTTTAGTTCGTCGATTCGTTGAGAAAGTCGACGTTCCGTTTCATCGTGTTGAAGGCGCCACCTCTGCTCAAACTCTTCCGCCGCCTTCCTCACCTCCTCCTCGGAACGACGACGCCATGTTCGCTCCAGTTCCTCCTCTGACCTCTTTCAATGGAGTTTGGCCTCCTCTCGAAGTTGCAAGTCACGCTCTCTGACCTGCCGTTCCAAGTCCCTCCTCAGAAATTCCATCTCCTTGAGATCGTGGACGCGATTTAGGTCACGCTGTCCGACCTTGGCCGCGAGCCGCTCACGGTCAGAGTAGAGCTGATCGTTCTCGGACAAAACCCGATCATATTCCGGACGCTCAACACAAATAGAATGCCAGGATTTGAAATCCCTCAGTTCCCGTGATAAAGCGGCATTGCGATCCAAGAGGCGAAGGGAATGGCGTTGAGCGGAGGAAGTGGCGACATAATCGGCCTGTCGAAAGCGGAAGAAAGTAAAAGTTAGCAATCATAAAGGGCATAAAGAAGTGGGTGAAAGACTTAGAATGAAGGAGAGAGAGAGCACTTACCATACGAGTATACTCCTCCTGCATAAACGGCCAGGCTGGGCTTTGAATCACATCTCGGTGGTCCTTCTTAAACTGTTGTATCTCTTGAAGTTTGTTATTGAAGTCCCGTCCAACCCAGGCCGTGTACCCTGCGTACTGATAGGCCTCCCGGGCATAGGGAAAGGGCTGACTCCCTTGCCCGGTAAGAGACCCATCACCAGCGGTCCCTAAGAAGTGATCGGCGGTCCCCACAGGTTGATCGGCGGTCCCCATAGAAGGACCGGCGGACGCCAGCGAGCCAAGGAGAGGAGTGGAGTTTCGGCCCCTCTTGTGACGGGCCTGGGAAGAAGAAGAAGACCCGGTCTCCTGAGTTGATGGACCAAGGACGGCATTGGGACGGATGGAGGACGGGACAATAGCCTTTCCAAGAGGAAGAGTTTCAAAGTTGGTTGGATGCTTCTCTTATGACATCGCGCCAAGAAGCCAAAGAGACTCATGAGAGTAGGAGGAGATCTGGCCGGGAGGGATGGCGTAGCGATTGCAAATCTCTATCAAGAGGGGATGGAGAGGAAAACGTCATCCCATCCTAACCGAGTCGTAGTGGACGATCAACCGGCGGGAGGTGTTGGGGTTGCGCTCCAAGGTAGTCCCCATGGCTTCTTGGACTTCGTAATCAGGAGGAATCGTCCCCCTCATCTCCCCCAGTTGCGCGGGAGTAATGGAGGAAACACTCTCGTCCTCCTTGGATTTCTTACCACCGTTGAAGATCTTGAAAACTTTAGAGATTGTCTTCTTCATGTTGGGAGAGAGTAAAAGGGAAGGAAGAGGGCCAGTTCTGCAAGAATGAAAGCAAAGGATTGTGGAGTATTGTGTAAGCGTGAGAGAGAAGAGGGGAGATGGACCGATTTTATAGGAGGGGAAGAGAGGAAATAGGAACGGTCCACTCCAAAATGAAGGTGTCCCAAGCGCGGTCCATATTTCTCTCTGCCAACGGTCCCACCATTATTATGGTGGGGTGAGGGCTTTGAATGATGTACGGTTGAGAACGGTCCAGTATAACTGTTAAAGGAATCCGAGGGACCGATGAGGACTAGGAATGAGTGGCAAATCTTCGTCTGAGAAGACAATGGGCTCCCTGATCACATACCTTGAGAAGGGAGAGCCCCCGGTTGACCCCAAGGAGGCGCGCAGAGTTCAATTGATGGCTCCCAAGTATCAATTGGATGGAGGGAAATTGTATAAAAGGACCTTGGGTGGACCGATGCTCAAATGTTTGAGTGAAAGAGAAGCGGGAAGAATATTGGAAGAGGTGCATCAAAGAGTCTGTTCAGCCCATCAAGGTGCCCTCACACTGGCAAGAAAAGTGATACTCCAGGGGTTCTATTGGCCCACTTTGAAGAAGGATGCACTGGAATTGGTAAGAAAATGCCCAACTTGCCAAGCATTTGCACCAATCCCTGGACGCCCATCCACCTTTTACACCCCTGTCACTACGGCCATCCCTTTTGCTAGATGGGGGTTGGATTTGGTGGGTCCTTTCGTCCAAGGGACTGGAAGGAAGAAATTTGCCATTGTGGCAATAGATTATTTTACCAAGTGGGTCGAAGCGGAGGCCCTTGTGAAGATCACGAAGGAAAATTGCCGTAAGTTCGTATGGAAAAATTTGCTGTGCAGATTCGGTGTTCCTGAGCAAATCATAGCAGACAACGACACTCAATTTGCCAACACAAGTTTCAAGGAATTCTGTGATGCATGGAAAACTAAACTCAGTCGAGCAGCCGTAGCGTATCCTCAATGCAACGGGCAAGTGGAGAATGCCAACAGGATGATTGTGGACGGTATCAAGAAGAGATTGCATGAGTTAGGCACATCCTGGGTAGAAGAGTTGTCCTATGTGTTATGGACCCATAGAACTACTCCAAGGAGGGCCACAGGAGAGACTCTCTTTGCCTTAACGAGCAATTGATGGAAGTGAATTCCCATTTCACTCAAGAAAGGAGGGACGACGCGGCGATAAAGGCGGAAGAATACCAACGGCAATCCAAGAGATATCACGATAAAAAACCCTTACTCCGAGCATTCGAAGTTGGAGATTGGGTCCTGCGAAAAAAGGAGAAAAGTCAGCCTACTAAAGGAGGAAAGTTGGCCCAGAATTGGGAAGGTCCATATCGTGTGGAGAGGGTTGTGCGGGCAGGCACCTATCAACTGACCACATCCGAAGGGAAAACATTAGACAATTATTAGAATGTGGAGCATCTGAAAAAATTCTACCAGTAAAAGCTGTCCGTTCAAGGTTTTATTCTCCCATAAATTTTCAAGCCTCATTTTTAGAATGCCTTCTGATTCCTTTTTGTTACGTTGGAATGTGATGTACTTTGCAAAAAAAAGGAAGTTTTCTATTCATAATCCGTTCCAGGAGTCTAAAAAAAAAAGGAGGGGGACCGATTCCCCCACAATAAGGAATAAAATCAGAACAGAGGCATACAAAGACCGATCCAATTACAAGGATGAATAAAATCAGTACAAGAGCACATGAAGACCGGTCCTAAACAACTGCAATGGTGGCTTGAGAATTCAGGGCGAGGGAGAGGAACGGAGGTGAGAAGGCTCTGGTCCCATGGGTCCTGGGATGCCCGGAAACTTCAGCCAAGGATCTAGTCCATCAGAATAGGGCTCCAGTCCACGATAAAATTTCTCATGCACCTCTTTCCCAAAGGTAGGGAGAGGTCCTCCCAAGTGAACAGGAGTGAGATAGGCTCGCTATCAACTTTCCAGAAGGCTAGGAAGCTTCAATCGGTCCCACGGATAGCGCCAGTGATGGATACCGAATATTTTCCCAGGGACTGTGGATCGGCCCAGGCACAAATATAGGTATCCGGGCCTTATAATATTGAAAGATAATACGAGAATAGTAATTAATAATAATGGAAATACTGCTCAGAAAATAGGAACTCAAACCGGCGGTCCTTTCCTTTATTCGGTCCACTCAGGAACGGAATATGCTTAAGGATCGCCGGAATATCTTTTATTACTACTCAAGTATTTTCTCTCTCTATTACAAGATCATCCCTCTTCTCTTTGCTTGTGACTCCCGTTTCTGGACCGCCAAAGATGACTCCTACTTGGGGAAATTCCTCCGGGTTCTCCTGGACTTGTTGTTGAGGTTGGGCGTCCCTACGCCAAACATTACCTCCTTGGTTTGGTTCCCGATTAGCATTCGGTTCCCTTTCCTTCATTTCTCCTTCCATCTTTTTGAGGAATTGGCATTCTTCGGTGGCGTGCCCAGGCCTTCTATGGAAGTTGCAATATTTTTCTGGGTCATAGGGCCACTGCCTTCTTTTTTTGTCTCCATGTTTCCTCTTTTGTCCACCCCCCTCCTTGCTCTTAATTTCTGCCACCGGTACGGCCAGGGGCTTAAGGGTAGGGATTGAGAAAGTGGTCGCCTTAGCTCTTTCGCCTTTCTTTTCTTTGTCTGAACCTTTGTGCAAGGCTCCCTCATTTTTTCCCTTTAGGCGATCTGACTCTTCCATGGCACAAAACTTGTTGACCCTAGCCATCATAGACTTGTAAGAAGTAGGGGTATCGTAATCTAACCTTCTGAACAATTCCCCCGATCTGAGAACACTCATGAATAGAGCGATGGAAGTCTTATCGTCCATGGGCTCCACCTCATTGATAGCTTCATTCCACCTTTGTACCAACTCAGTGTTGGTTTCTCCCTCCTTTTGTTTTAGGGAGAAAAGATGAGTGAAGTGCTTCTTTGGCTTGAACCTTCCTCCATAGGCATTGAGAAAGAGTTGAGCAAGATCTTTGAAACAATCAATGGTCCCATTAGGAAGGGTGAGGAACCATTTTACGGCCGGCCCCTCCAAAGTTCCTACGAAGAGGCGACATTGGATCTCGTCCTCCACGGCGCGCATCAACATGTGAGTTATATGCGGCCAAATGATCATTGGGATCAATGACTCCTTTGTAACAGATTTCAGGGGCTTTCACACCCCTGGGCAGCTGAGCTTTCATCACCCTGGCAGTAAAGGGAGAAATTATCTCCACTGTGGGTCCAAAAGACCCATCTTTGTCAATCTGCCTCTTTAGTTCCTCCATTTCTTTCCTCAATTTGAGGATGTCTCTGGCATCTTCATTGCTGGGCCCCAGAATTTTCTCCAGATTCCTCAGTTCTGGGTCCCAGCCTCTGGGACGCACTTTTGCGCATCCTCTGGTGCACTGATATGAGCTCTTGGCTCTCCACCTCCTCCCCCTC